ACATGAATTTACGAAATTGCCCTAGAGGCAAGGACTTTGACTTCCGTTGACCATCGACTTGAGAGATGTGAGACTTATTCTTTTAGCATATCCTCGTAGTACTCATTGGTATGAACGTATAGGCGAAAGCCGTTTGCGAGTCCGGATTATAACGGTATAGTTACGGACGTTCGAAATTGGTTATTCAAGGTTAGGGTTTATTTAAATTAAATCCCCACTTTGTGGGGGAAGCCTAATCAGAAATGGAGAAGAAAAGGAAAAAAAAAAAAAAAAAAAAAAAAAAAGGGAGGAAAGCTTCCCGTGCACCCATACCCGCACCACCGCGAGTCCATCTTCCAAGGCCGATTCCGGCCAATTCCGGTGGAGTTTTTCGATGCCACTACCACCATCTTGAAGCTCTCATTCCCCTCTACAAAACCCACCCAAGAACCACCTTGATTAACCATGGGATGTGGAGGTTTGAGGCCACGAAAGTTGACGAAAATCAATGGTGCTCCGGCCACCCTTTTCGATTTTCCGGCAAATCGGCAAAGCGATGGCCGATACCACCACTTGGGCTTTGTAGCCCATCATCCCAGGAGCAAAACCCAATCAACCTTGACCCCGTTGGACCACCGTAGACGACGAATCGACGTCGGGAAGTTTTAGGCACCCGCCGGCTTCGTGAGCAAAATTGACCATCTTCCATCCACTTTTGGACTTCGTGGCAGGGACAAATCATTCAGGACGCCTCGATGCGTGCGCTAGAGAATCATAGCGTGGACTCCAGGTGAGTGCATCTTTTCCTTTTTATCGTACATATTATTGAGAGTTCTATCGACACCTTTAAATTGATTAGGCATATTACTTTCATATATAATTATTGTGAATGCTTGAAGTACTATGTGAACTACGAATGGCTTGATCCCTGTTTAGGGTACGTAGGCAGTCTAACGAGACGTTAGATGCAGCCATAAAATATTTGAGACAAAAGCCTTACTTGGGAAATTGAGTAATGTGAAGGAAATTGGTTAAGGCAAGTTTTAGTTTTATGAATTAGTTAATTAAATTAGTGTTAATTGGGTTGTCATGAATAATTATCCTTGAAAATAAGTAGTTTGGGAGTAGGGCATTATTGATTGTACACTTCACACTATATTGTTTATAATTGAAAATGCTACGACATGGTTGAGTAGTATATTGCATCATGATATATCCATATGTATATTACTTGCATATAATTATTGGGAATGCTTTCAAGTGCAAAGGTGAACTCAGGACATCCAGGTAAGTTCAGGTGAGTTTATGGTACTAGTTGAATCGATTGCGTTATAGCATGACTACAGTTATGAGTTAGGCAACTTCGATACGGTCGTACTGGTTGCCATGAGTTGCACATGTTATATTGAGATGCATTGAGAGCTTATAAACCTGCACCTCGGTGTTAGTGCTCCCGCCCGTGGCCAGGGCACAGTCTTTCATGTGATGTTCACCTCCCGCACCTTACGCTCACCTTGGATTCAAGGTAGGTGCACAGTCCTGTCGTACAGACCACTTTAGGTGGTTCCGACTTGTAGGTGACCCGCGATTATTCGCCCAGTCTTCACGTGATCGTAGCACTTGAGCGTATTTATTTACACCCAGTCTTGTCGTACAGACCACTTTAGGTGGTTCCGACTCGTGTGCAGGTATACTTATTGAGCTATTGGCTAGCCAGGATTGATGAGATATGGATAAGTCGTACAGGTCACTATAGGTGACTTCGACTTATATGCTAGCCAGGATTGACGAGATATGGATAAGTCGTACAGGTCACTATAGGTGACTCCGACTTATATGCTAGCCATGATTGATGAGATACGGATAAGTTGTACATGTCATTTTAGCTGACTCTGACTGATATATCACTTTGTATTGATTTAGTTCATTTGGCCTACTTATTAATGTATGGTGGATGTGATGGCAAACCGTGGTTTTGGTCATTTCCGAGTATGGTTTGGATATATGTATATATGTTGTACTGTCTTATGGAAAACGATACGGGTTTTACATTTAGGGGCATTACTTTTTGAGAGGTAGTAACTTTGGGAAGCTTGGTTTTATTGCTTACTCACACCTTCTGTTTGGTGCCCTCCAGGTTTTAGCTGCTGAGTTTGTATCGACAAGAATTTATGGCTAATCTTAGTATTGATGGATATTTTTGAGGGTATGATTCTTACCCACATTACTGCACCTTACTTATGCTCTGACATCGCGTGTGAAATGGGTTCGCTCCCACTCGTAGCGCACTCTGGTATTTAGACACTTTTAGATTCAAATTTATTCACTTTTTATGCACTATCACATTTTATGGCTTCGTCACCTTCCAGGTGTCGGCCAGCACAGCTCGATTCAGGGTCCAAGTGGACTTTCTGGGTCGGGGTGTGTCAGAAAATCCGTCTCCAGGTGACGGTTCCATACCTAGGGCTACGGGATGAAACAAGGCCCGAAAATTGAAGGAAAAGGGCAAGGCAAATGATGATTATGCCTTTCAACATGAATGGCATCCTCATTGCGATTAATGGGGGAGCAAAATGCCTTTGCCGTAGAAGAAAGGAACCGTAGGCACGAAGAACGGGCAAAACAAATAAAAGAAGAGATGGATGATAGGAACATGCAAAGGAACAGTTCGGATTACACTCCAATGAGTAAGACATATTTCGATAGGAAAAAGAGGGAAATTATGGCCCGACGGGAGTTGTTTACATCCAACTATACTCCTAGAATGGCGAATGATGATGATGATTATAGTCTTTAAATTTAAGTTGTTGTAGTCTTTAATATTTAAGTTGTAGTCTTTAATATTTAAGTTGTAGTTTTTAAATATTTAAGTTGTAGTTTTTAAATTTAAGTTGTTGTAGTCTTTAAATTGAAATAATAAATTATGTTTGGCCTATAGCCCTTTAGCCTCCTTGGTTGGAGATGGTTTTTTGTCACAGGATTATGTTTGGCCTATGGCCCTTAGGCCCCCTCGGTTGGAGATTATATGAAATATGGCATAAAGCTGTTTATTAAAATACAATTTCTTGGAGGGCTATAGGGCTAAAGAGAGCCATCTGACCCTCCTTCGGTTGGAGATGGCCTAACAAGGTTGCCACGATGGATTACCCGATGCTGTTGTTGTAACTTTAAAACAGCATAAGTCCAGTTTCATAAGTCCCGTTTCGAAAGATCATTCTTTTGAGACGGCCAAAATTATCCGTAATGCAAATCATGTCAATTATCCTTTGTGAGTTTGATGTTGTACATAGTGTCCGTACTCAGAACTTCTTTCCTAGAATCTCCATCACTGAAGAACTTCTTCCATAACCACCCATGAATCTCTCATTTAGATCCCCTTTGACATTCATTTCCAATGGCCTTTGATCATTTGGACCCATAATCTCTGATTTGTGTGTGCTCCACAGGTATTGCTATGTCCTTTTTTAAGCTGCCTTTACAATCGAAATTCATAAAGTACGTCCCCGAGACTACTCCATCCCACTGGCCTATTGATGCCTTGTACACGAAGTAAGTTGAAGATTCTTAATTATGCTCCATAAGTGGTGCTTTGAAATGTGCTTAATTAAAGCATGCGCGCATTAATTAAGCTTCCACAACCACAAAGTACAACGTTAGCATGAAAAACAGAAAAATATATTCATCTGCCTCATATTAGATTGTGATGGAACGCCAAATTGTTCACATTCTGACACAATACATTAAAAGTATAAAACTATGATTTGTCTGTAAGAAATAATGGTTCATTTAAAAACGAAAAACTGTGATTTGTATGAAATAATGATTCATTCTAACTTGCGTTGTGTGTATGTATTCTTCTGCATTGCACAGACCGACTTTTGGCCGCTCGGTGCATTGTGGAAGTGGCTCACCAATTGAAATTGTCTGATATAATTTGTCCCGACACAGAGAAATGCCATAGGTGTGTACTATGGTGCAGTATATTATCAGTAATCTGACGGCAGTTCCACCACTTCTGTTAAGATATGTGGGCTGTGACTATATTCCCACTTTTGTGCTTAAGTTTATTAGGTCATAGATGCCCTTCTTCTTACACTCTCTCTTCCCCTTCGCAATTGTTCATGGTTTATGACGCCATCCCACCCAACATTTTTGCTACATAAGGATCTACCGACTACCAGTTCTTTCATTCTTTGTCTAAATCTATCATGATTCTTGATGTCATTTCTCACCTTCCAAGTCTTGCCTGCTTAGTAGTAGTCACTAGTCTGTGGGCTGCTAAACACCAGCTATATATATTGACCATTGGCTATTGCAGTAGTAGTTAAAGAGTTGAAAATAAAGTTTAGCTAGCTAGCAGCTTCTAAAGAAGATGCACCAAATTGAAATTGTTAAAACATTGATTGTGTTTACTAAAACCATGGTAATTTCTGGTTAGAATTACATGATATACATTTGAGTACTATGTATATACTTCCATTTTTTTATTGTCAATGCGTGCAGGTTTCGCTCTTTCTCATTAACTATCACATGCTATGAGCTTTAATTTTGTAATTGTCTATCATTAATCTGTGTGAGATTGATCCAGCGTTTTCATATATTATCTATGTAGTAGTTGTCCTTAACAATTAATACATGTGGGAAGATGAATTAGAACCATTTTGATTCCTGAGTTTTCCGTGTTTACTAAAGTATGAGAGTACGTTTTTCGGTTCCTTCCTTCTTCCATTCCTTTTCTCTTTTTAAATATGTTACTGTTGGCAAGAAAATATTTCAATTCCTATTCCTTTAATGATGAATGTACAGTTGAAGTTCCTTCCTTTGAAATCACAACAGCAGAGATCTACAGTCATATTTTTTGTGCTGAATAAGTTCCCACGATTTCTCTTTTTATGGGAATTGTTATTAGCACTCCAAAAATCTCATTCTACACTCCTTATTAGTGTATTTTTCTTTCTAATAATAGAAAGTTTGGAGTGCCAAATGAGATTTTTGGAGTACTAATAACAATTCTCTTTTTTATACCTATTAAGTATAACTTCTCTAGCTTCAACCCCCAGAATCTTATTTTTGGGGATTCGATCAAGACATTTACTCCACAGTTTCTTAACAATATGGATATGAATATATTCCATAAATATAATTTGTATTACCTGGAAATTTCCAAGTTGTTCAGCCAGCAGAACTTATATGTCTTCGGTCGCTGTCGATCTCTAGGTCATGACTTCAAGTTAATTATATATATCCACGACTTGGCTCATGCAATAGCTTCACAAATATACCCAAAAGACTTCGTCAATCCTAACCTCTTTTTTAAGCTCTTTTGATTGTAATTTCTGCAAAACCCATTTGGGTTGATTTGGGAAACTTACTTATCATTTCCTCCGGCCGGCAACCTTTCTTGCCTCCGTCTTCCGGAGAAGGTTTTCGTGTATATATATGTTTCCCATTTCAACTGACCTAAACCAAATTTCCTATTTATTTATTTAATTTGTTATATGTTTCCCGTTTTATTTGCTTCTCTTTGTAGATAAACTAAGCACACATGAACATTAGAGCAATGATGCAACGGACCTATGAGGCGTTTTTACTTCTGTTTCTGGCCTTACTCTCCAAGGCAACTAGTGTGAAGCCTTGCCCTAGGCCAAGCCTGCCGCAGGACGACAGCAGCTTTTGTTTGAGTTGGAGACTGGCGGTGGAGGTCAACAATGTGGGTGGGTGGCGCACGGTGCCAACTCAGTGCTTTCGCTACCTCGAAACTTACATGATCGGAGGTCAGTATGAACGGGACATTGATTTCATCCTTGGCCAAATCCTTAGCTATGCGAATGGAATAGCTTTATCTGATGATGGCATGGATGCTTGGATTTTGGACGTGGATGACACTTGCATATCTAATCTCTTCTACTACAAGGGCAAGCGATACGGGTAATATATATGTTAAAACATTACAAAACTTATAGGGTAATGCTTAGTTATGTTGTCAGATAAATATATGTTGTTAGACTGTCACAAAGTAAAATAAATTAACTTAATAAATGGTTTAGATTCATAGTATAATACTATAAGCCCCTTGTGTGTTGCTAACTTGCTACACTCTAACAAGAGATCTATTTATGCATATTGTTTATAGTTTTCTCGTTAAAATGCGTTGTCAAAATTCACAGTAGTCTATTAGTATAACATATATTTGCATATTGTTTGTCAAGAGAACGTTTTGCTTTGCCATGACCACTTTGTGACATACAGGTGCGATCCTTATGATCCATCTGGGTTCAAGGCATGGGCAATGACTGGAGGGTGCCCAGCAGTTCCTGGTATGCTGGGACTTTTTAGCGAGCTGGTGAATAGTGGGTTTAAGGTGATCATGCTCACAGGAAGAGATGAAGAAACCCTAGGCCAAATTACTGCCGCAAACTTGCATAACCAGGGATTTGTTGGTTACGAACGGCTAATTTTGAGGTAAGAATATTGTGATGTGTGATACGATATGTCCATGCATCTCTCTCTCATTGGTCGTGAGGAGTTCGTTAATTGGCTCCATAGAAAAAGAAGTGAAGAAAAAGAAATCTCATGATGTAAAATCTTCCATCATGTGGGTTTGAAAGACCAAAAACTAAGATTAATTGTGCTAGAAGTAATGCGAGTCAAAAGCGTTTAATGTGCCAAGTTTAGCCTAATGATTGGATTCATTGGAATTATCCGAGTCAAATAACAAAGAATGTCAACTTTTGAGAATACTTCCGACGCAAATATTACACAACGTTGTGATATCAATTCACACATGTGGTACTATGTATGTCCATAAAATACTAATTATGTCATTCACCTATATTACAAAGTAAATTGATAGTTGTTTGACAATGTGACCGTCCAACTAAAAAAAATTCCACGCTTCTAAACTAATCATACATGTCACAACCTACCAAATATTGACTAGGTTTCAATAACTTGATCATATATATATATATATATATTCTTCTAATGGGTTGGAGATTAAGTAATTAAAGGAAATCAGTGGACATTGGCACGTATTATTGTAGTTTCTCTACCTAATCTAATTTAGTTTGGTGTGCTTAATTGCAGGACTCCAGCTTACAAGGGGCAGAGCGCAGTTGTGTACAAATCAAACATTCGGAAGCAATTGGTAGAAAAAGGTTACAGAATTTGGGGAAATATAGGAGACCAGTGGTCTGATCTTCAAGGAGACTGTGTTGGCAACCGCACTTATAAGCTTCCAAACCCCATGTACTTTGTTCCTTAATTAACTTAATTACAAAGCCCCAACCCTTAATTATCACAGTTACTAGTGGAAGTCTTGTTTCTTTTACTCGGCAAAAAATAAAATCATGTAAAATCTCATTGACGTTGTTCCTCAAATCATGATATAATAAAACTCACGCAAGAAAAAACTTCCGAGTGTCTCAAATTTTTGCATTTTGTATATTCAGCTTATTTTTCCATAACTTTCAAATTGGATAGTTATCACCGAATTTACTGTTCGTTTATTACTCATATTTTGAATTTCAAGATTTATTAATTTGAGAAGCAAGTTAGTAATTTTAAATTTTAAATTGCTCTTTATTCTTTTTTAAGAAGAAAATTAAAATTAAACATTAAAGCCTCTATGGCATCCGGTACAAGAGTTATCAAAGCGCAAGGCATTCCTTGCACAACTAAGAACAAAATTAAGCCAAATAAAATCTGAATGCAAAGAATGGCCTAAATTTGCTCAATTGTCAACGATGAAATTCGCTTCTCGGAAGACACTGACAAAACTGATAGACTCAAAATTATGTGCAAAGTTCATAATATCATTTAGCAGAACTCTAAAGCTTCCGGAGACCGGAACATGGTTTCCATCACCATAAGATTTATATTTAATAATAGATTAATATCTCTAAGTAGGTGCTATAAGACGTTATAATATTGTTGGATCGGAATGGCACGATAGTAGAGATGAATCCATCTCAATTAAGATGTCTTTCTACGTTTGGGTATGACACGTGTCGAACACTTAGTGCATGATCATGTTAACGCCAGTTTAGTCTACTTTTTTTTCTTCTGACGAAGGCGGCAAGTGAATTTAGGCCTACATCAATCGTGGCCCATCAAAAGAATGGCACATATTTTATGACATTTTTTAAATTGGAACAGAGATTCGGGAGACAAGGAGGAACCCAATGCGGAAGCATTCAACCTCCAAAAAGCTCGGACGAAACTTCGCACATGATTGACACACATCAACTCCACCTTTTCTCTCCCATTCCTTAATTTGCACTCAAGATCCTTCCTGCTGAGAGAGTTTTCTTTTGAGAGTCTTCGAAGCTCATACGGACATTGTACTAGTATCCGTATCTGTATAATCCTAATCTTGACAAGATGAACGATGCAGATGTGTCGAAGCAGATTCAGCAAATGGTCAGATTCATTCGGCAAGAGGCCGAAGAGAAAGCCAATGAGATTTGTGTCTCTGCTGAGGAGGTACTTTTCTATGCCAACACTTTTTCTGCACTCAAAACTGAAATTCTCGTTGCATGCATGGCTCAGATCGTAAAAATGCTGTTAATTTTGAGCACTTAGGTATTCTTTCCAAGTGGTGTGGTGTGGCCTTGCTATCATGATCTTTGGTTTCAAGCCGTCCCAAAAAAAAAAAAAAAAGGGTAGAAGATTGAGAACTAATAAGGAACATAAAATTCATTACAGACGTATGATCATTGCTGTTCAATCGGGTTATTCTATTCCATCTCACGAAAAGAAAGAACTCATTATTCTAAGAAGTTAATAGCAACATGATACATTTCTACAAAACTCCTACCCAAGCGCACAGTCATATGCATTGCTTCGATTCATCCCTAGAAAATAAACCAGCCAGCAATCGGAACATTGCCTTTTTTTTTATTTATTTTTTTACACTTGATTGCAAATTACACCCTTTATTAGCATATGGGGGTTAAATAGTTGTTATTTATGGGGGATTTTATTTCAATTTTAATAATTTCTTGGGCAGGAATTTAACATTGAGAAACTGCAATTGGTTGAAGCTGAAAAGAAAAAGATCAGACAAGAGTATGACCGCAAGGCAAAGCAGATGGACGTCAAGAAGAAAATGTGAGTTTATTTATTTGTTTCATCCTCACTCACCAAGCTAATCCATCACTTAATCTTGAACATTTTGCTTGAAAAGATTATTGGAATTAGTGATTAATTAATTTAAGGATTTGATTTGGTGTACGTACAGCGAGTACTCCATGCAACTAAACGCGTCGCGTATAAAAGTTCTTCAAGCACAAGATGACATTGTAAATTCCATGAAGGAATCTGCATGGCAAGGATCTTCTCAAAGTTGCTAATGACAAGAAGGCATACAAGAATCTCATCAAAGACTTGATTGTTCAGGTAATAATCAACCGTCGTACACATAATAAGCCGTATATGAAACCACGCTTTAGTACTCTTTATCGTCTGTTTAGCGTCCTTTCAGTTCTATAGTAGTGAAATTGTTCTTGAATTTATATGTATATAGAGTTTACTGCGGCTAAAGGAGCCAGCAGTGTTGCTGAGGTGCAGAGAGGTTGACAAGAAGGTGGTTGAGTCTGTGTTGGAGGAAGCAAAGAAAGCTTATGCTGATAAAGCCAAGGTTTCCGCCCCAAAAGTCACTGTCGACGGTCGTGTGTTTCTCCCACCTCCTCCGAAGGGTGGCGATTCCCATGAACCCTATTGGTATTCCTTTGTACTAATTACCTCAGTTTTCTCCTTGCATTGATTTGTGCACATAAATGCAATAGGCTGCTGTATGCACATGATCATTTTTGTTTGTTTGATTGTTTGGAAGTTCTGGTGGAGTGGTGGTGGCCTCCCAAGACGGGAAGATTGTGTGTGAAAACACCCTTGATGCGCGATTGGATGTCGTGTACAGACAGAAACTGCCTGAGGTAAGGCTAAGCAAATTTTGTACTCCATTTGGACATTCATTCAGCACACCAGAATCGAAACAAAACTCAAATCTTTACTTCGGATCTTCAGTTCACCTATTTTCGCTCTTTCACTGCAGATTCGGAAGCGCCTTTTAGGTTAAACCAGAGGAGTAGTTTCCTACAAGTGAGAAGACTTGTTCTTTGTTGGCTTAGCAGTTTACTTCTCAGATAATGAACTTTTGCTTCCAAAAAATAACAGTGTTTAGCTTCCCCTAAAAGTATCGTTATTAGGGGTATGCTAATTCATGACTTCGGATTCATGTGTTGGAAAACATTAACAGAGATTCAGCGAACGAAACAAGTAATTCGGAATTTATAGTCTGAAGATTAATAAAACTACTTGTACAGCATTTAGACCACAATATTGATCACGAGGCAGGATTCTCTCGTCCGGAATCCATCTTCGTGAAAGTTGTGGTCACTAAATGTGATGCATGTAGCGTTACTCTTTTGCATATGTGGTACAAACTACAGGCTCCCTTCAAAACCTTCTAAGCTACCTCCGAACTACTTCTGAAAACAAATCATTTTATCTCAGGAAAGGAGCTACCTAGGAAGCGGAATATCTCCTACTCCGACCAATTTTCCCCTCAGATCCCCGGGACTTCCGACCTGATTTCTTCGGTTTGCCTCCCGCTTGGCCACTAAAAATCCCAATCCTTCCAATCCCTTTGGAGAGTGAGGTCAAGAAAGTTTTCCCATTTCCTGTTTTATCCATCATTCCTTGTTTCATAAACAACTGCTCTTTCTCCAACTCACTCAGTCTCACTCTCATTCTCGAAATCTCCAGCTTCAGTTCTCGGTTTTCTCTCCTTAACGAAGCGTAGTTGTCTCTAGGAGACATGGCTGCGCTTGGGACGCCACTGCTTATTCTCTGCGAGGGGAACCCATCTCCTGAGCTTCCAGACAATGCATTCTTCAAGCGGAGCTGCTCGAAGTACAGAACCTGCACTGTCATCTTGACTGGGAGCCTATCATTTTGTGCGGCATGATTGCTGGCTTCTTGAGAGAGCTTTTGGCAGTCTATTAATTTGCACAGCTTCTTGCATTCTTGTTCAGTCAGCATCGAATGAACCTAAACAGCAAACGACTGAAACATAATCAATTCAAATATAAAGGGAACTCAATCCAAAACATGCAATACAAAATCATGTAATTTTATATAGTCAAATTTGATAACCTACCTTCAAGTATACATCAACCGCCCTGTAAATCCCGTCATCAATCACACGTGCATAATCGGGCAGTATTTCAATCATAGCAATGAATGTTGGTAAGCTCAGGTAAGGATCAGGAGCAATTTCAGCTAGATATGAGTCAATAAGCTTTCCAACTTTCAACAATGAACCATGACTTGGAGAACCAAGTCCTTCAGACTCATATCCGCAATCTTCACTTTCTTCGTCTTCTTCTTCAATCCGCTGCAAAAAATTCACCTAGTATTCGATGAACGGTGTCAACATCATACAATGAACCCCCTGCATGGATCGCGGGTATAAGGAGATCATCAAGCGAAACCATTTCCAACCGAAAGGCAATCCTCCTCTCGAGCTCAAGCCTGATGGCTATTGTTGCATCCACCATGATTGCCATTCTCAGCATTCCAAACATAAAACTCAGTGGCACTGAAGAGCTTTTCTCCGTTGGCATTAAGCTTACTAGGGTTACGACAACAGTCTTCTGGTCATGTTCTGTCTTGCCAGCATTTGGCTTCACTTTACCTGGATTCCAAATTTGACATTTTCCAATACCCTTCAAGGATGTTTGAGCAAAATGCATCAAAGATGTGAAAATGCTATCCGGTCGCACACCTAGTCCTGTCATAGCACATATAACCCTTTGATAATAATCAATCCTTAGAATCGACAAGTCTTCAACCCACCACTCATGACGACCACTCTTAAGCTCTGTAGATTCGCCGTCACAGCTTAACATTGACAACCCTGATGCTAATTGTTCCTTGCAAGCATTCATGGCAGTAGCTTCCACACATCTACTAGGAATTCCAACCTCCTCTGCTATAGAAGGTAGCGTCTCACAGGTGGCAAGGACTTCTACTGACTTTTCAAGACTCTCAACTACAACCTCGTTCAGGTAAGTTTCCGTTCGCGCAATCAGGTTTTCGTCCCTGTAGTCTTCAGTCATTTCCAAGTACTCTGCAGCACACCGCAGATGGGCGACATTTGCAGTTGTGATCTCAAAGTTCATGCCATAACAGAATTTCATTGCGAGTTCAAACGCCTGCACCCCTCCTGGTATGTTGAGGAGCTCCAACTTTGAAGATGAATCCTTGTTGTCTGCCACCATTTTCCGAATCTTTCCACTTCGCGACACCAGTGGAAACTTGAACAAGATAAAAAATGTGATTAGCGAAATGGAAAAACGCAAGGCTACAGCTAGTATTATAAGTTAATTCAAGGCCTAGCTAGTGTAAACTTTGATTGGCAATTGAAGAGTTTACCTTATGCAGCAAGAAAGACTCTCCATCGACAACGATTGTAATGTCCCCGGCAACATCTGAAAAGATACTGCGTAAAAACATTGAAATTCCAAAGTCAGTTACAAGCAATAAGCAAAACAAAAACAGATTGTATGCAGATAATACACCTTTAACCAAGAATCTGCACTAAAGTTTGAAACATGATTTGGAAACAGATCCTACTCGTCGCTAAAGGGCAGATCCTATCCGTCGCTAATGGGCTGATCCTACCTAGATTCAACTCTTCTTCCAAACAAAAGATTAAAAGAAGTTATTTTACAAATGTTTATATGTTTTTGGTCTACTATGCTAATTAATTAATTTTAAAATGCTATGTTCTGCCTAATATGCTAAATATTAACCAAATCTGTGAGCCCCCACATTCAGGAATTGTACTTAAGAATTTTGAACAGAATAATTATCAAAGAATATTTACAAAACAAGCCAAATAATGAACCAAAAAAACAACATAACACGAGTTGAGAAAACCAAAAAAAAAAAATATATATATATATATAATGCAAGTGATGAACTCTAACAAAAACTGTATGAAACATCCCATCAATTAGCATGCAGCTGAAAGATTAGACCTAAACAGAAGAAAGAATGTAGACGTTACACCCGAATTTGAATTTTTTTTTTTTTTTGATAGATTCGAGTAGTTTAGAATATCGTTGTTAGACGAACAAAGGGGATTAGAAAGAGTAGTAGATAGAGATGGACTACCGAGTGGTGAAGGAGCTGCAGAGCTTAGGAGTTGGAGAGCGGTTTGAAAAAGAAAAAGGGTTCTCAGAAACCATCCCCATTAATTCTCTCTTCACCACCAACAACTGCTGAATCTCAAACAGTGTTTTCGGATCATATTCATCATTCCATTCCTTCTCTCTTTATTCTTCTTTTTTACGTAAATAACCCGACGGTGTTGAGGAATTTACGGTTGGAACTTGGACCGCTGCTTTTTTTTTTTATGGGGACATGCTCGCTGGCGCTGCAGCAGCCCCAGCGCCAGCAGCCACCTTTTGCTTTTGCTTCTGCTTCTTCATCATTCCTTTGTCTGGTGTTGCGTTCTTCCTTTTCTTTTTTTTTTTCTTTTTTTTATGTATTTTTTTATTTTCAAGACAAACAGAAAAAGAAATGCTTTGTCTGATTGGATTTTGAACGTGATATTTAATTTTCATATAAATAGTTTTCATTTCATAAAAGTATATTTGTACACAAATTTGAAATGAATACTTTAAATGCGGTCTTTAATTATTAGTGTACATTGATTGAAATCCTATTATTTTTTAGATTTTGATCAATGTCTTTTGACTTTGTACATATCAGCATATTAATATTAATCAATTTCCATGTCAATTATTTTATATTTTAAATTAAATATTATACTAAATATTGTAATATAGAGTATCCTTTAAAGCAAATTTTTTGTCCGAACAATTAAAGCAATTAAATAAAATAAATTACCACATTTAAGGGATATAAAATCCCATAAGATTTAAAATTTAACGTTTAGGGGATTAAACAATAAACTCCACCCCTAGAAAACCTTAAATCAATTAAAAATTGGTGATTAAAATGTGGAAAATAAGTTATGAAAATAATTGTTTTATTTTTATTGAATGTCATGATAAAAGATAAATGTCCCCATAAAAATGTACCCATGTACAATTACAATAATTCACAAGAATGTACCCCATATACAATTTCAACATTAAAACTCATATGCGACAAAAAAAAATGTACCCATATAAACTCTTAATGTAAAAAATACTTAAATGATAGAAAAATAGAAGCAAACTATAAGTGAGGGGTATTAGATTCGATTCTCGTCAAAGACGAGTTTAAACCATATTATTGCTAGCCCATTGTAAGGCTAAGCCCATTCCTCTCCCTTTAGTGTAGATAATATCGTTTGTTAAAAACAATTACTTAAGGGTACATACTATATAAATCTTATAGGAAAAAGTTATACATATATGGGTACAAAATAATTTAGAAGAAAAAGTTACAATGGTAGTATAGAATAAAAGTTGGGTACATGGATTAGGGAACAAGAGAAGAGAATGTACGCAATGAAATTAAAATTGCATTCATAGCAATATGATAGTCATGGAGAAAAAGTAAGTTTGAAATTTTTTTGGCAAAATTTAATTGAAGATATATATCCAATATAATAATGTTGAATTTGAATATAAACATAAATTTGAGTGAGAGAATTTTGAGATTTTCAGTTACAAGCATGATAATGTAGTAGAAATTATAAATAAAAATTTGTAAAACAAATAAAAAGATGACATGGAAGTATTTTAACAGTAAAATGCTGAGGTGTACAAAATTAAGGGACTTTAATCAAAAACTAAAAAATAATAAGGTTTCAATCGATGAACATTAATGATCAGAGATTGGATCCTAATTTTTCCAATTTGAAATTACAATTAATTCTTTAATTAGTGTAGAGAAATTTGAAAGTAAATTACCTAAGAAAAACATGTGCAGTTTTTGTTTTTTTTTCCCCATAAAGTTGTTTAATTCGTTTTAAGTCATAATAAATTGCAGCAACTCATCTTCAGTTTGTAGCGGGAGTTTTAAGACTGATTTTATACTTTGTAGCGTGAGTTCGTGGTTTTTTTTTCTAAGCATTGGCGAGATTTGGCTTAACTAAACTTATTGATATTGTTCAATAAATTTCTGTTAATATTAAAGACGGTTGGAGAAAAATCTTGTATTCTAAAGGTTAAGACCTATTATTATACTTTGCAACGACCTTTTTAGATTGAACTCTTTGTAAATATGTATGTGTAATGCTCTTTTCTTAATAAATACTAGCATATGGGCACACACAAAGTGTGTAAGAATTTTTTTTTATTATTTTTATTTTTGAAATAGAAGGAGAGAAGAAGAGAGTGATAGAGAGTGTGGGAGTGGGAATTTTTTTTTTTTTTTTTAATTAGAGATATGTTATGATTACATATAAGTGAGGTTTTGAAAAACAAAAAATAACAAAATTTGGTTGTGTGAAATTATATTTCTACCCCATATTTCTTATTCTTTAATTAGAGGGTTAAACTGGTAATTTCATAGGGTTTTGGTTGATAATAAGTATTTTATTAATTAGTAGAGATAATATCGCTCTTCAGAAAAGATTAGTAAATCACCTCCCGAATTTTATTTTATTTTATTATAATATGTATCTGTAATGCTCTTTTCTATTTGGAAATAATGTATCGTTCGAATAAAACCAACGATTAAAATTGTTCAATTTATTAATCTTCATAACTCTTGAAAAAAAAAATTATTTGAATAGAAGACCATCTAACCATTGAAACTTATTATATCATGAAAATGTTACTTGCTACCTGTAAATTTTATAATCGGTATTAAGTAACATAACCATGATGATCCGTCTCATTTTTTGATAAATTTATATGATTAAACAATATCCAATTCAAATAATTTTTGTTAAATTGATCTTTGAATAAAGATTAATAAATTAAACGATTTTGCTTGTTAATTTTTCAATCAAAATACAATATCAGCAAATAAAAAATGTGTACATCTTCACATAAAAGGATGCAACTATTATCCATCCTATTACTTTTGGGAGGTGGATTGTTTACCTTTTCATTTTCATACTCTATTCATGCCCTCCTGTAATGTGTGGTAACGGTTAAATCACGTCAATATTTTATATTAATTTTTTATAGAAATAATAAAACAAAAAGTAATATTGATGTGGCTTAATAATGACCACATAAACAAAAAGAGATGAAAAGAGTATAGAAATGGAAGAGCAGACAATCCTCCTCTATTATTTTGTATGGTTTCCACACTTTTGCACTAGATCGCACAATCCCGTTGATTCTTTCAGGAAATGTCTTTCTCCACTTTTATTTTCTTGTTTTTTATTTTTTATTTTTTGCTGATTACTTTTGTGAAATGTCATTGTTAAATAAGAAAAGTAAAATAAAATTAGATTGATTCGATCAAAAAAAATAAAAAATAAAAATAAAATAAAAAGGGCAATGCCGGTGTACTAATAGTAATAGAGCGTGGACTGATGTGACAGAATTGGCACGGAACTCAATAAAGATGGTATTATTAGAGAGAGAGAGAGAGAGAGAGAGAGAGAGAGAGAGAGAGAGATGGTGTTTACTACGTTCTTCTCTTTTTCCTTTGCCAAATGGCCTTTTAGAATTTAAAGGCCAAGGCCTTGTGAGACAATCTGGGCCATGGATACGAACCCACCAAAAGCCCTTGCCCTAATTTTAACATATGATTTTTTTCTTTTTCTTAAACGGTGATATTTACACTATCTAAATTATAATCGTTATTTACTAGATTTGAGTTTAAGATTTCTCTTGTAAATGAAACAAATATCATTAAATTATAAAACTACATGACAGCTTTAACATATGATTTGACACTAATAGTTTTATTCTTTCAATTCAACAAAATAAAAGCGTAAATGTGTTGTGTTCTTATAACGAGTAATGATTTTTCTATCCATGAGGAGTCAAATATTGCTCCTTCAAGCTATTAAATTCTCTATTTATCTCGGCTTATCATTTCATATTTCACTTATGTACTTCAATTGAATTCTAATTTTGAGTGATAAACCTTATTCAAATTCTTTTTTTTTTTTTCGGTTTTAAAGAAAATATTTTTTTCAAAGCAAGTGATATGAGGAGGGCCGATTCTAACTTTGGACTTCGGGCTATAGAGACCAATGCTACGCGAGATGCAATTTCTTTCTCCATTGTAAAGTGTTATAAAATTGACGGTGTATACAGTGGAATAAATAAATAAGACACAAAATTTACGAGGTTCTTCTACAATCAGTGTGATTAGAATACGTCATCGGAGCAGCAATGATGCTTTTATATATAATCTGAAGTAATAAGATTACAAAGATAACTCTTTCTATTCTCTCCTCTCTTTTTCTTATCTCTGCCATGAGCCTTGTGGCTTCTCTCTTCTTCCTCTCTTCTTCCTTCTTTCTTCTTTCTTTTCTCTCTTTTCAGCCGTCAGACTTTGTGTTTTTGTGTGTGATTTTATTTGGAAGGATGAGGTAGCAAGTGGATTAGTGGACAAACATGTAGAGTTGTAATGGGTTGACCATCCACACATTGAATAACTTATAAGATTACAACATAAAACACCTTGTTTAAAATTTATAGGAAAAAAAAAAAAGAAATTAAAGCAAGGAAAGAAGAAAAAGAATCATATAATTTGACATCTTTTGTGAAAGAAAATGGCATTTTATGTGAAATACTCGATGTAGGCAGGATATTTAGGGCAATATAACCAAAGGGCAAAATATCCAAAACCAAGAGAGCCAGAGTCACTCGCAAAGGCCACAGCTCCCGAGAGCAACACCAACAAGGAAGAAGAAGATGCGGACGCTCGGTGCTGCCTGCGCTTCCTATTCTCTGTAAGTTCTTCCCTTCCCACCCATCGGTCAGTCTTTTTTGTATTTCACTTCAACCCATGTCTGTTTATCAAACTCTGTCTTGGAAAATATGAAAAATTTGGTAGCTTTGAACTTATTGGGTAGACTTATGTATCAAGATGCAGAACTATAACGAGCAATCTTGGTTCAAAAACTGTTTAATTTCAATTAAGAATGTGTTTATGGATTCTGTTTAGAGTACCCATTTGGTGGAATTGTGAGTACTTGATGGTGGATTGAAGAAATTGATGTCCCTTTTTCGTTTATATTCATGGCAGAGGCCGGATTGTTTCGTTTGAATCGTGCCGTCAAGCATCGGATAAGTTATTGTTTCCTTGCAATGTGAGAGAGCAGCTTGCCAAAGGTATGTGCTGATTGATGAACACTAGCCTTGTCTGCGTAGCGAGTGTCAAATTTTGGTAATTACTCATAATTTAGTGAGTGTTAAATTTTGCAGCAAGAAGGATGCATAAGGGATACCGACTCAAGGCTGGCTTTTGGGAATCCATTAAATCCGGGTAATTAAAAATAAAATGACGGTTGTGCACACAATTTACACACTGAATGGTGAAGAATTTCAGTCAGGTGAATTGATTTTGAATGTTGGATTTGCCATGTGACATAGTTTTCAATTGTTGGATTGGTCAAATTTGAAACCGTTGATTGGTTTGAGCCCTTAATCAATAAACTTGTTTAGAAAGTATGTTACTTTATGGATTAATATACTTTTTCGTAGAATGAGAGTTTAGATTTTGTTGGGCTTCAAAGCTTAAAATGGTGCATGTCAAGGCTGCCTATTGGCAGTGTGCTTGTACTTCTTCTGTAGTTTTGAAATTGATAATTATTGAAGTCTAAAACATCAAGAAATTAGATATCATCAAACACACACACACAGAAAAGTTATGATCGTTGGTAACTCATTTCTTGTTGCAGTATTTTAAACAACAACACCACGCAAGTAGTAGAACCACCCTCTGCGCTCCCAGAAGAGGAAGAAGAAGAACCTCTGCCTCAAGAATTAGTTCTCATTCAGAAGACTGAACCAGATGGAACTGTTGAAGAAATAATATTTTCTTCTGGTGGAGATATTGATGTGTACGATCTTCAAGCCCTTTGTGATAAGGTAACTACTCTGCCATTGGTTCTTCTTTTGCACATGCATTTAAAAGTTAATTTCTTGTGTTTGTGCATTCGCAATTGTGTCCAATTCACTCTTCATGGGTCAGGAGTCCACTCATTTTACCTTTTACTGAAGTTTTATCTGTCATTATTTTGCTATATATGATATACAATACTATAATTGTGGAGATAGTAAGTTATCATATATCCCTAGTGAAAGTCAAATAACTTTAATGCAATTTTTATAGGTTGGTTGGCCAAGGAGGCCGCTGTCGAAACTAGCTGCAGCTTTGAAAAATAGCTACTTGGTTGCAACATTACATTCAGTTCGGAAATCACCTGGATCAGGTACATAGTGGATAGAGCATTGTTGCAGTATCCTTCTATTTAACGCAAATGGTATTGCAGTCTATAATATGCTTGTTACTATATCTGAAACTATTTGATGGACACTTAGTGTACTTGGAGAAGTTATTTGACAGAAGGGAATGACCAGAAGAAGTTAATTGGCATGGCTCGAGCTACATCAGATCATGCCTTCAATGCCACAATTTGGGATGTCCTTGTTGATCCCGGCTATCAGGTATGCTTGTACATTGTTTGTTGGACTTAAAGCACTAATCACATAATATGTTTCCATGATGGTTACTAATGATTTCTTTATCATTCAGGGCCAAGGCCTTGGGAAGGCTCTTGTTGAAAAGATTATACGGGCTCTTTTGCAGAGGGACATCGGAAACATTTCACTCTTTGCAGATAGTCAGGGTAAAGCGACAATTATTTGTAGCATTTAGTCGATTACAGTGTCATGCCAATGTGCTATTTAAGTTTTTCAAGATTGATGAGCTTGTCTACCACTGCCATACAATTACCTTTACGTGCATCTGCACGGTTACTTGCATACATGTCCATGTTTTTGTTGGTAGTTGCCTAGTCGGTGTCTTAGTAATAATGGTATACCAAGGTGACATCGTAAATCCTTTTCGGTCAATCCTTTTCTACATCGGTGTTCCTTCTTACGAAATAGTCCTGTCTTTGCACTTCCACTTCCGGTGTTTCCAGCTTTAGCATTTTCGACTTTTATTAACGTGGACCCTTCTCGTTGTCGTTGCAGTTGTGGAGTTCTATCAAAATTTGGGTTTTGAACCCGACCCGGAGGGCATCAAAGGCATGTTTTGGTACCCAAAGTATTAGTTCTCACTCAAAAAGGTCAAGCTTGTACCTTGTATGCTATTGGTTTAGAGAGCAAGTGGTAAATCCGATTGAAAATTTTATAATTACCAAATCTGTGGCTGTATCCCTATATTTTTATTCTGAACTGAAGTATATTTCGTTTGGTGCTTAAGATTGGATGAGTAACTATATTTTAAGGTTGTTGACGGAACAAACGAAGAATTTTTGTCCAACTTGAAGATAGAAGTTACGGAAACTTATGCCTTTCAATACCAACAAAAGTGGCAGTATTACAAGCGAGAAGTTTGCTTCATGTAATCCCTTCTAATCTTCTTAAAACGAAAAATCATTCATATCTACATTGAAACCACCTTGAATCTTATGAGGTATCCAATCCAATTCGATTTTGTAGAAAGGGCAAGTTTCCTCAAAATGGTAGGATTTGAAGTGATAAATTTTCTTCACGGCTAATTCCTTCCAATCTTTTCAAAACAAAAAAATCATCAACATCTACATGCCACATACCTTGAACTTTATGAGGTATCCAATCCAATTTACTTTTGTAGGGATTGAAAGTGATAATTTTCCTTCATGTTTGATCCCTTGAAAAATGAAAATTCGATCACCTCTACCATCAACATGCCTTAAAATTAAACGAGTTTTTCAATCCAATCCTAAGCACCAAACGAACCTATAGGTCACTCAAACAAGTTGGCATCTCTCGATGAAGAATCCGAGCTGTGTATAGCTACAAGTTCCATAAGAGGTCGTACATAAATCCAGAATTCGGATGGGTCCTCATGCCACCATGTCTTAACCCAGAATTTGGACCTCTTGAATTGTCTAACCCAGAATTTGGACCTCTTGAATTGTCTAACCCACAATTTGGACCTCTTGAATTGTCTAACCCACAATTTGGACCTCTTGAATTGTCTTATCCTTGTAAGAAAGGATATCTTTTTAGGGTGCCGTATACGTCTCTGTATATCAAGTGTCGTAATATTAATTGTTGAATTTTATTTTTTTTCAAGTACCTAACTATTTGTATAATGACATCTATTAATCCACAATTTGGACCTCTTGAATTGTCTTATCCTTGTAAGGAAGGAAAAATTTTTCAATGTGCTGGAAATACGTTTAAATGTATCAAGCGCCGTAACATAAATGGCTGAATTTTTTTTTCAAGTACTTAACTATTTGTACTATGACATGTATTAACCCACAATTGGGACCTCTTGAATTGTCTTATCCTTGTAAGGAAGGAGAATTTTTTGGCATGCCAGGAATATGTCTCGATGTATTAAGTGTCATAATATAAGTGGCTGAATTTTTTTTTCTTTAAGTGCCAAGCTATTTGTATTATGACATTTAATATACCGAACCATATTTTCGACTCATTGAAAAATGTTCCGTAAGAAAAGGACAACAGAAATTTTCAATATTTTTTTATGGAAGGCGGTTGCCTTGTGCAAACAAACAGTGGAGCCATCCACATCATTTGTTTCGATTGGATGTTTATTTAAATATATTTTATCAATAAAAATCCTTAAAATGTCAACATTTGATTTAGAAACGCTACTGACTCGAAAACACGTGTGTGGACAGTAAGCAAAGCATTAGGAAACTCTCGAAATGCAACTGGACGAGATTATTAAATGGCAAATAGGGACACTTACGTGACTGGAACCAATGAAAAGAAATTTCTAAAGAGAGACAATTGGATTGGATGTGACTTCAAATTGCATTTTGAATCAATGACATGATGGAGTTGAGGACTACTCGAGGAGAGAAACTTCACGATATTCGAAATGACACGGTAACTGTATCTTATATTGACAACTGTATTTCTTGCCAAGAACATATTATCATGTAATTAGGTTGACATGTAACTACATTAGGTATCTTGGATGTTAGGTAATTTTTTTTCTTTTGGGAAACTGGATGTTAGGTAATTTAGGCTACTGCTTTAAGAAGTACTTATGTTGAAACGCTTTTATTAGAAATGTTTTCATTAGAGCCACATGGTAGAAGCACTTGTTAAAGTCGATGAGCACTTTTGAATCCAATTCTAGAAACTAAATGTAACTAAAGATGATTTTTTTAATTGTCATAAAGTGCTTTTAACCAAAGCAATTTGACTGCTTTTAGCCAAGCAATTTGAACTAAGTCAACACTGAGGCCACTCAGCCCCAAAGCACATCCAATTTTCAATGTTTATGAGCATCGACGGACAGAAACTTAAAATTCAAATGATTTAAAATTTGCTTTTCCGTTTGAATTTTTATTCAACTCTCTGTTTCCTAATATCACTCGTCCAAAGCAAGCTAAACACACCATTTTCTTTCTCCTCATACGAAAATGATTTCTACATATTTTTTCCCCTCGTGCACACCCTTATTCTTTCTACTTTCTAGTATTTGGATTGAACAAAGGAAAGAAGAATCAAACGAAAATAAACAAACAATATCAAAAAGGAGAAAAAACGTGTGCATAAATCATTTCGCTTTAACATGTAAGCACAAAAAATGGTAAACAAAGTATCTGATCAAGTGATCGGTCAACGGCACTAAAACGAAGGTTCGTGGAAATCTTAGGTAAATGTAATGTATGTACAGAGAAGTCGTCTCCCAAACGTGAACAGCCTTTGCCTTCACACCCACTAGCTCTGAGACAAAGCCAGACGCCATATCTGAAGTATCTTCATTCAATCTCTTTCACTTAAAAAACGTTGGACTATACAAGCATTAAACAAAACAAAACACCAATACTTATTCCAACTAACTGACAATCCACGGTACCATAATTTATTGTTGGAACTCATGATAAGGCTTGTCTGTCGAAAATGATGTTATCATGTCGACAATGATGTTTCAGGACTTCATCTTCTTCGCCCTTTCCATCCTCCCCATTGACTCGACTTCGATTTTGAAACTGTGTTCCTGTCCCTCCTGAGTACCTGTTTCATAAGTTAACTCATAAGTCACGAACAAGTCTCAAAGTCCACCACTATCACCGACTGGTATGATTTTTCTTTGGAAATCGACACGAAAGTTCTTACTGTTTTTGTTTATCTGAAATTGTGAGCGTGCCACTATTAGCAGTTTCCTTATCCTTTCTTATGTTGTTCCGTTGCAATTACATGTTTGTTAGAAGTTGAAAGATATTTTGTAACTGTTTTATTTACCCGAAAGCGCACTAGCCACTGGAACAGGCCGAGAGACTAGATATTGTGAGCGTGCCACTATTAGCAGTTTCCTTATCTATTTCTATCTTGTTCTATAATTCTGTTGCATGTTCTAGTTTGCTTCTTGTGAGAAAGAAAGTTGAGATTTAAGGTAATTTGTAGCTTGAAATTTGAATAGTTGTTGGATATTGCCCATTTGGGTTGTTCCATAGGGTGCGAGAATGCTAAAGATGAGAGCTTCTGGATGTGTCGTTGCTCTCCTGTGTTCTTGCTTCGTGCTGTTTGCCGTTGCAGAAGTTACAAATCCTTCAGAAGGTGAATTTTCGGCTCAATCTTTGCTGCTTTATACGATGAGATTGAAGAGTATAACTTATGGTTTGTGCCCTTCTGCAGTCAATGTACTGAGAGCAGTCAAGAGGAAATTAATTGATCCTAAGAATCATCTAAGGAATTGGGACGACGGGGATCCTTGCGAATCTTTTTGGACCGGAGTTTTCTGTTTTGATGCTGTTGGGGATGATGGATACTTGCACCTCCAGGAACTGTACGTATTTGTTTTCATGCTGCTCTATCGTTTTTAAATAACATAAGTGCTGTCTGTCACTGAATTTTATTCGTAATCGTAATTTGATGCAGCCGACTGCTGAATATGAATCTCTCAGGAACTTTAGCACCTGAGCTTGGCCAACTATCCCAACTTCTGATATTGTGAGTTTTTTCTACAGTTTCTTCGGATTATCGTTTAGTTATTTTCTAATTGATGACATTTATATTTCCTCTTTGCTGGCAGAGATTTCATGTGGAATGAATTAAGTGGAACCATACCGAAGGCGATCGGAAACATTAAATCCTTGAAACTCTTGTAAGTTTGAGTTCATGTTGTTTTGTCAATTTATTTTTGTACATCCACCCTATTCATGTAAGAAATATCAACATAAATCACTGTTTTATGGTACAAAATTTATTATCTTTTCGTTGTGATGCATTTTTACGCAGGCTCTTGAATGGAAACAACCTATCTGGTTCCTTACCTCCTGAGCTCGGTTATCTTAAAAACTTAACTAGACTACAAGTCGATCAGAACTATATGTCAGGTCCAATTCCAAAATCATTTGCTAACATGGCCAGTTTAAAACATCTGTAAGTACATGTTCAAGCTAAATACTACTTAAAGTCAGGTTACGTTTTACGTTTCTCATGTTTGACAGCTTCATGTACCTTGCTTCGCAGCCACTTGAACAACAACTCCTTCAGCGGTCAAATTCCGCCTGAGCTTTCTAAAGCACTCAGTCTTCTTCACTTGTGAGATTTTATATTGTTATTCTTGTATAATTTTCTTGTGTTGTTCTTGGACGTTGTCTGTATTGATACTTGTTGACTGATTCCTGACTCTGTACATTTGACACAAAATTTTACAGGCTTTTCGATAATAATAACTTTTCCGGATATGTACCACCAGATTTCTCCATGTTACCGAACGCGCGCATCATGTATGTCATAATCCGACACCGTCTGCATTTTTAATTTGGAGTAACTTGTTTCCTTTTATCGGATCTTAGTTGGTAAAGTTTCTTCTTGACCAGATTTTCTTCCTGGTTGACAGAAATAATATCTTTCTTTATGTATGTTGTTCCTTCCATCTTTCAGTCAGTTCGATAACAACAACTTCAGGGGGACTGAGATTCCAGCCTCTTACGGAAACATATCCAGATTAACAAAACTGTAAGTTCTTTTATTACTTCCCCTTCTTTGATTCCAGTATTTCTACTTCTCGGGATGCTTTATTTTGCGTTTATTACATGGTGCATAGATTTGTTTGGAAGGATTTCTGATACCTATTTTTTTGTTTTTCTCTTTCTGATTTGGCAGAAGTCTTAGGAATTGCAGTTTGCAGGGAGAAATTCCTGACCTTAGCAGTATAGCCAACCTTAGTTATATGTAAGTATCGATATGGTTCAACGACCTTCAATCAGCACTATAATGCGTTTATTTAGTCTTCCATTCATGCTCCTATTGCCCAACCTTTTACTGTCTTCATGACACAGTGATCTAAGCCGGAATCAACTTTCTGGATCCATACCATCACACAGACTTTCTCGCAATATAACAACAATGTATGTTGCTGGCCTGAGTAAACTTGTAACATGTTCTATGTTTACTTCGCTTTGGTTCACCAGTATGTTAAATTTAAATGAATGGGGCACAAGAAAATTATTAGATATCACTATCTGTAGTTAATATGGTTGATTTAAGCAGCTTTCTTGTTGATATACTCGTTACTATCGCAGCATTCTGTCAGACAACCGTCTTAATGGATCGATTCCTGAGAGTTTTTATGATCTTCCAGCTCTTCAGAAAGTGTAAGAGTCTGTCTAATTCCCTAAATTTTTTTTTCGGATTGTATATGAACACTAGATGAGATTCTTATAATGATTCTATACAGGTCGCTCCACGACAATTTTATTACGGGTTCTGTCCCTGCTATGTGGCGGAAAATGTCTTTCAGTACAAGAGCTAGACTTGCACTGTATGTTCCTCGAGCGGAAAGAGCAGCATAACCTTATAAATTAATTATTAGATTTCTTGGAGTGCTTTCCCTTTTTAGTGACCTTTGATTTAAATTTTGTAATGAATTATAGTAAGATTTTAGAGTGAACTTATTTATATGCTAGTCGATTATTGCAGTGATCTTCGGAACAATTTGCTTTCACAAATATCGGAAGAGCTAAATCCTCCTGCAAATGTCACCTTGTGGTATGAAAACTATTAGCAAAATTACACCTTGTTTTACTTCGATAATTTCAGATTCTTACTTATAGCAGCTTTTCTCAGGCTTGAAGGAAATCCTGTCTGCAAGAATGCAGGTGTACCAAATATAGGCCAGTTCTGTCGATCTGAAGCTGGAGGAGACGGGATCTCTGAAAACTCGATAAACTCCACTCAACCAATGACCTGCCCTAGCCAAGCATGTCCAACAGACTATTTCTACGAATATGTCCCATTTTCCCCAGTTCCATGCTTTTGTGCATCACCTTTAAGAGTTACATATCGTCTAAAAAGTCCGAGTTTTTCATATTTTGCTCCTTATAAACACAATTTTGAAATCTACTTAACTGGTGCTCTCAACCTGCACCTTTATCAATTATCAATTGATTCATTTGTCTGGCAAGATGGGCCTCGTTTGCTGATGCATATGAAGTTTTTTCCTATGTTCATCAATCCACACGTGAATTTATTTAATGCAACTGAGGTTCAGCGATTGAGAGGCCAGCTTACATCATGGGATGTTCCTCCAACTGATTTCTTTGGACCGTATGAGCTTCTCAATTTCACTCTGCTGGGACCTTATTCGAACAGTACGTATTTTATCCCGAACATCTTTATTTTTTTCTCTTTCAAAGTCGTCTGGATATTTTGCTGCATTTTTATATTTGCTTAGAATTGGATTCCCTTATTTTTACATGTTAGTAACTTTGACAAATTGATCGCCTTGATAGCATGTCATAAAGACGAGAACATGTTTCTAATTCTTGGTCGAGTAACTTATTTGTTTCGTTGTTATAGTGATTGTTGAGCGGCAAAAGACGAGCATTAGCAAGAGAGCTTTAGCAGGTATTATAATAGGATGCATTGCTGCTGTTGTCATTATTCCTGCAATAGTCATGCTTCTGACCAAAAGATATGTCAAATACCGCTACCCAATACCTTCACGGAGATATTCATGTAAGTTCTTAATTGTAATTGATAAGACCAAATTTGAAGATGCTATTCCGGTGACTATCATCCTAGAAAGTAGAATGAAGTCCTTACCGCTCCTTGCAGCCTTAAAGATCTCTATGAGAATTGAAGGTGTAAAGGCGTTCACTTTCAAAGAAATGAAGGTCGCTACTGGGAATTTCGATACTTCAATGCAACTTGGACAAGGAGGCTATGGGAAAGTTTACAAAGGCATTTTGTCCGATAACACAGTTGTGGCCATAAAGCGTGCAGAAGAAGGATCCTTACAGGGCGGAAGGGAGTTCTTGACCGAGATAGAACTGCTATCAAGGGTACATCACCGAAACCTGGTCTCTTTGGTGGGATATTGTGATGAAGAAGGGGAGCAGGTATGAAGCTTGCAGTCATGAACAATTACTCATTGCTGTTGCTTGCACTGCAAGTTGCAGCTGGTTTTTCTTATGATTTGCTTATATCTTTAATCAAATTATATCTTCTTGTTGCTTGTGCAGATGCTGGTTTACGAGTTTATGCCTAATGGTACCTTACGCGACTGGCTTAGGGGTACAAAAATTTCCAGCATTCCCAATTTCTTAAATGACTACTTGTATTCATGTGCGTGTCTCTGGATACTCGTCTTCCAACATCTCTTCTGAAGTTTTGTACTCACTATGATATGACAGTTGAAGCCAAGGGAAGCCTGGACTTCACAATGAGGTTACGTATTGCATTAGGTTCCGCTAAAGGCATCCTTTATCTCCATACCGAGGCAAATCCTCCAATATTCCACCGGGATATCAAAGCCAGCAACATACTCTTGGACTCCAACCTCGTGGCCAAAGTGGCGGATTTTGGACTCTCGCGACTTGCACCTCTGCAGGATGATGAAGGGACCGGGTCCTCTCATGTATCTACAGTCGTGAGAGGAACGCCGGTATGTTAAATCATGCAAAGCATATGAACCAGCTGTAGAATTACAAATAAGCGTCAAGAAGCGTTGTTTAATTCATATATCTTTTGTTTTTTAATCATACATTGCAGGGTTACGTTGATCCAGAGTATTTCCTGACCAATAAGTTGACGGACAAAAGCGATGTCTATAGCCTAGGAATCGTGTTTCTGGAGCTCCTTACCGGCGATCAGCCAATTTCACACGGCAAAAACATAGTTCGAGAGGTACCATTGAGACATTACTTATTTGAGATTTCCGTTGCTTAGATTTTGTCTGAAAAATGCACCAGTGTTCGGCATGCTGACACAGATCATGTCTCAACATGCCAAGCACTAATATTTATTCGGTGAGACTAACAATCGCGAAATTATATTCATCTTTTTCAGGTGAATCTGGCTTATCAGGCGGGGCTGGTGTTCTCAATCATAGACAAAAGAATGGGATCCTATCCATCCAAATGTGTTGAGAGGTTTCTTGATTTGGCCCTCAGATGTTGTAACGAAAAGCCAGATAAGCGGCCTCATATGCTGGAAGTGGTGAGGGAGATCGAAAACATACTCAAAATCATGCCGGCAACTAACACCATATTCTCGCCATCTACTTCCTCGTACAGTGACCAGTCACCAACCTCGTCGTCCTTCATGACCGGAGACCGATCCAACGTGTCCTCCAGCCTGGCAGGAAGTGATCTAACCAGTGGCGTTGTCCCGACCATAATACCTCGATGAAGAAAAGTTTATACACACATGTCCCTCCCACTATAATCCCCTCGCACGCTGGCCAAGTGACGCTGTATTTATTGGTGGCATGCAAAGAAGTAAAGCTCCTCCGACGACGACTGAAAAAAAGACGACTCTCAGGTGTTTCCTTTAACCTTGTCTCCGTTTTCCGGGACGTAGAAACAAAACAACATGATGCGCGAGTTTTCGGATGTAAAAAATGGAGTTTTGTCTCGGATTTTGTCCATGTAAAGAACGAAAAGACGAGTAATGGGTAATGTACATAAGTTAGCATCCTAGATCTTGTTCTACTACTAACAATCTGAAAATTAAAACCATCTTATGTCAAATTAACCGTCTAAATCCTCCTCCAAATCCACTAATTGTACCATCCGTGTTACCATAACGGTTAACAATTGATGGCCAATATAATGTTAGAAATAATGGTCAATTTAACTGAAGGTGTAAATTTGTTGAATGTCAAAATTTCGGCTGCAACCTAAAAAAATTAAAACCTCAATAATTTTTTAGCTAAAATGGTCTTTAAGATTGCCCACAGTCAATCATTTTAATCATTCCATGAAAATCTTTGTTAAATTAAGCGTATTTTTGTCAAATCAACCTCTCTACTTGAAGAAATTGTTTTTTTAATGGGAATTGTTATTAGCACTTCAAAAATCTCGTTCTACACTGCAAACTTTCTATATCAGGAAAGAAAAATACACTTATGAGGAGTGTAGAATGAGATTTTTGGAGTGCCAATAACACTTCCCTTTTCAATTTAACGGTGATTTTCATAGTATGATCAAAATAATTGACGGTGGACAATCTCAGAAACCAATTATATCAATTTTTAATCTTAGAAATCAAATTGAAAAATTATAACAATCTCATATAACATTTTGTCTAAAAAGCTGAAAGAATTCTTACAATCTTTTTTTTTTTTTTTTTTTTTTTGTTCTAACTTCTAAAGCCTTGGTTTTGGAGAGGTTTTTCAGTATAATCGGTACACAAGGTGGTATATCACGTGTCACTATACAAATGATTGGATATATGTGTTAAAATGTTAATAACTTAAAATAAAATTTTTCACCACTCATATAAACACACATGTTATACCACTCGCGTTCAGGTCATAACGAATTTTTTTTTCTGGTTTTGGCAAAACCAAGGAGCTGAGTGCTCTGACTGCTGACCCACAAGATTTAATAAAATTCCAATAAAGTCCCACCATGTTTTTCTTTTTGCAAATAAAATCCAAATCCCACCCAAAGAGGACCACCATTTTCCTCCCACTAAGACATGAATCATCTTCCGATCCAATAGTTTTAATCATATGAATCAATGAATCCAAACTATTGAAATTTGATCAAACGATTAAAATTATTATAACTTTTAAAATAAACTTTATTTACCGTCGTTGAATCAAATTTCAATACACCTAGAATTAGAACAATTGGTTCCGGAGAGAATCCATGTCCCTCCCACGACTCCAAAACGCTAAATTCGAATTTATCTCATTATCCCCGAATTTGACGTTATCTTATACATTTGTTTATTTAAATTCAATTTCGAGGCCAAAACTCGACGGAAGGGTTTATTTTTACCGGGAAACCTTTTCTGTCGCCATCTGAATTGCAGTTGACTGACGTCTCAGTCAAGCCCCCGCGCTCTGCTGCTTTTCTTCCTTCCTTCCTGGGCCTCTTTTGTTCTATCGGTAAGGTTTTTTGTTTCTCAATTTTCTTAATCTGATTCCCAATTTCCCTTGTAGGGTTTTCTTTATTTGATTGATTCATTGGTAATGTGCTGTTTGATTGCTGTTATTTCGTCTGAAAGGAGAAGAATTTGATGAAATTTCGGAAAAGGGTATTGTGATGAATTGCTTAATTTCAAATTAATGGCTTGAATTGTTAATTTAATTATTTAGGTTATTGGCATTAAGGGTGCTTATATAATTTACAGCGGTTGGATTCTGTATTATCACATTGTTTGTGAAGGTGGGTTACATATGTCTGAGCTTGTGATGATCTACAAAGCCAGCATCCTTTATTGAGGCCTTGTATTTTTGGGTTGCAGTCCGATTTTGTAAATCAGTGAAGGTTCATCTTCTTTGATGTGCAATTTAGTGCTAAACTAATCAGTTATTTACGTATTTTAAAAAATTGTTTTTCGTTTATTTGAGAGCTATAGTTTTACAACATAATTCAGATCAAAAGGTGTGTCGTGTGTAACCAAGGAATGTGGAAGTGTTATTGCATTACTAATGTAGTGAAGCCTTCGGCAATCTGCAGGGTTGTCCACAAGGCAGACATCAAGCAAGGCAGGGTGTCTTACGCTATCACGGAGAAGTGGCATCTTTTGGTTCAATAGAGCCCAGTATTACTGGTTGCATCCTAGAGAAGAATACAGGGGGCTTCTCTCAAGATCCTGAAGTGAAAGTTATTGTCTTTTTGTGAACTCTGTACGAATGAAAATGGAGTTCACATTTAGGAAGGTTCTATTATTTTCACTGTTCTCCCTAGTTCTGTTTGGATATGCTACAGCAGAGTTGGAAAATGAAGTTTGGCAAAAGCTGAGATCTCCTCCACACAAAAATGTGAGAAGTAATGTTATTGATGGCACTGGTCAGGAGAGTTCCTTAAATTTTGAGGTTTCTAATAATGGACTGGGTGAGGCGAAGAGTGGGAACAGCAAAGTCTCAGTCTCTACTGTTGCATTATTTACGTTGGCAATGGCTGCTGCTACAGGTTTAGGTGCAGTCCCGTTCTTCTTTGTTGAGCTTGATCCACAATGGGCGGGATTATGCAATGGTATGGCAGCTGGTGTAATGTTGGCTGCAAGCTTCGATCTTATACAGGAAGGGCAAGGTCATGGTGCTGGGAACTGGGTCGTTCTTGGGCTTTTAGCTGGGGGCCTTTTTATTTGGCTGTGCAAGCAGGTATTGAATCAGCTCCCTCATTTTCATCTATCTTTTATGTTTTTGCCATTTTTGTACTTGTAGTTGCTTCTTCCCTCTCTAGAAATTTGCTTCATGTTCCATAGAATACACATTTCGATTGCATTTGGCGGAGAGGTTAGGCATGTTCTATTTGCAGTGTTAATGTGTGCGATTACTTTCTGAACCAATAATCTATAAAGTTGACAAAATAAATTATAGACTTCTTCGCTGTTCTTTCAAAAAAGAAAGCTTTTTTGGTGCGTAATACGATGTTTCAAGAAACCTGATTTGCATATGCGTAAGTTGTCCTCATAGTCCATAAGCATCCCCTTCAATTATTCAATTTTATCATTTCATGAGGGAGGACATGGATGGTAAGATGTTTTCCTGGCCTTTAATTTTCAGATTTTATCAACTAACAAATACTGTAGTTGTACAAAATCTCATTGAAAAATGTTTGCTTGTGCATAATTGTGGGCTTATCTTTTACATAATGCTAGAATGCATCCAGCTCTCATTATGTCTTACATCGTTATGTATATCTGCTGTCAGTTTCTTGAACAATATGGAGAGGTTAGTATGTTAGACATCAAAGGTGCAGATGCAACTAAAGTCGTTCTTGTTATTGGAATAATGACTCTTCATTCGTTCGGAGAGGGTTCTGGTGTTGGGGTTTCCTTTGCTGGCTCAAAGGGTTTCTCTCAGGGACTTTTGGTAACTTTGGCTATTGCTGTGCACAACATACCAGAAGGCTTAGCTGTGAGTATGGTGCTTGCATCCAGGGGTGTTTCTCCGCAAAATGCCATGTTATGGAGTGTGATTACATCATTACCACAGGTAATTATTTAGTTTTTAAAATTCATGGGATTTGAGAATATGTAACCAATTCTAGTTGATTTTCTCTTTGAGCCTTTTAACTTAATGGTCTCCTGCATATAATGCTGTTGCAGCCCCTTGTAGCAGTTCCTTCATTCATCTGTGCTGATGCGTTTAGCAAGTTTCTTCCTTTCTGTACGGGCTTTGCTGCTGGATGTATGATCTGGATGGTTGTTGCTGAGGTGCTTCCTGATGCATTTAAGGTAAGGTTCCTCGTGGGACTTCTTCATGCTTCTTGTTTCTTCACATGCTTAAGTCATTTGCAGTAGGCTTTTAGATCCTTTTCAATTTACATTATCAAATGCCTCCTCAATGTTCTGTTTTCCATTTTCAATAGTTTCCTTTGCATTTTGGTTGTAGGAAGCCTCTCCATCGCAGGTTGCATCAGCAGCCACTCTCTCTGTAGCATTCATGGAAGCTCTTAGCACTCTTTTTCAGAATTTCACCCATGACTACAAGTGAGTGAAATTTAATGTTGAGAATTGTGTCACTACGCAAATTTTTGTAGTTTATACTGTTTGGTGACCTCTTTTTGACACGTTCTCTTGACATATAGAATCTACATTTGCCCCACCTTTGGGAATACGCTTATATTTTACAATTTACATTGTTACAGCTCAGAGGATGCTTCTGGCTTCTTTGTCTCACTACTTTTTGGTCTTGGACCATTACTCGGTGGCACTGTTCTTGTTGCATTTGCTTTAGCTTTTCATCTTCAGCATGCTCTTCTCATGGGTGCAGCATCTGGCATTGCCTTTGTCCTTGGTGCCTGGAGACCATTGCAGCTACTTTTTTCGTTAAAGATGGGATTTCTACCTACTATATTTCTGCTTGCAATGGGAGCTGGATCCGTCCATATTATGAGCTCCAGTATTTTGAAGCTCGCAGGTCGCAAAAAAACTTCAGTTCAAAACTTACCCACGGCAAATGGTTTTCCAGTAAGCATTCACACCCTCCAGGCATTCTTGTCATGTGGAGTTGTTGCCTTTCATGCTTTGGCTGAAGGGCTTGCACTAGGAGTTGCTGCACCAAAAGCTTATGGACTTGGTCGGCACATGGTCCTTCCTGTCTCCCTACATGGACTCCCTCGAGGTGCAGCTGTGGCTAGCTGCATCTTTGGGGCTACTGATAACTGGCATGCGGCCCTTGTGGCGGCTGCTTTAATTGGATTCGTGGGTCCAATATCAGCAATAGGAGCAATACTCGCAGGAATCGACTATAGTGGTTTAGACCATGTGATGGTTTTTGCTTGTGGGGGACTGTTCCCAAGTTTTGCAAATATAGTAAAGAGAGCAGTGAAGTTGGATACGCGTAAAAGTAGCTGTGGGATTTTGATTGGTGTGGCATTTGCAACTCTGTGCTTGACATGCACGAAGTTGGTGTGCTTGCACACACCTTATTGTAATTCTGCGCCGGAGGCTGTTAGATGAGATTCTATAATGCTGCAGCCGGTCAATGTAACTGCCTAGGTGCACTTGCATGGTTGTGAGGGGTTGAAGCACAAGGCATATAAGTTTGGCACCTGTGCCCCGGAAAGTATACCACTGAAAAATTGAAGAGATGCTGCAAGGACGGAGGAGCGACATCAGAGGAAGGTTTTGGAGGAGGTTGTAACATGTTTTGCGTGATAGAGTTATGTTCATTTTTATTACAGAAAAGAAATGAGGAACTGGATTGATCCCCTTGACCCTAAAATTTTATGTGGATCGATAGAAAAGGCCTGATGTAGGGTGTTACAGACAACTGCTGTTGTGTCGATAGCTCGTTTTTATCGTGCGATATTCTAAACTACAAGAGATTCAAACTACAGTGCAAGGGGACGGGCACGCTGCGTGGATTGCTCCCGACTTAAATCTTGTGAAATCTCGCTATATCTTGTTCAACCTTGTCTTTCTTTGTTTTTTATTTTATTTTATTTGAATCTTTGTTACCGTGGAAAAGACAGAAGTATCAAGGAAGCAAATCCTACAACTAGTTAGGTGAAGTGGCAATGTCAGGTCGACCTACCACATTCAGAAGGAAAAGAAAAGTCATGTTTTCCTAGGCCGCCATCAATTTGAAATCTTGATTAGTCGACAAATCTATGCTCATTCAACAACACTTTCATTTTCATGCAAGCATTTTATCTCCAATGTACCAAGAAAATCCAAAATCCATCCATTTTTTTTCTTGGAACTCAAATTCAACAACCCAAATGAGCGATTTAACGCTCATAGAACAAGGTAGACATGAGTTAGACAAGTTAGCCAGAGCAACATGCACGCCTCCTTCCCCTTGCAGTCAAGTTGTGTTTCTCCTATGACGAACAAGAATTGCAAACCTGAATTCTTAAACGTGCTTAAAAGAAATGAAAAAACCATCCCTTTTTATATTTGGAATTTCGCAAGTTAGGTCATTCGGCCAAGGCAGTGTGTATGCCACTAAGTTTGTATCCGCTCTTAAAACCAGATTCAAATCCGCTCTCGCCTAACAGATTATAGTAGTTTAGAATATAGATCGTCGAACAAGAATTGCAATCGGAAATCCCAAAGGGATTGCTAACATAATAATTTAAAAGGCTCCTGTAATTCGCGAACACATTGTTGCAGTTCAAAGTTATAAACAAAAATGATAACACGTAATAAAAACAAGAAAAAAACCAAATCCTCATTTGTTAGTCGACTGATTGCTCTGCACATCCTCACTCTCCACCACCACCAATTTCTCCTTCTCTGCCACCGATCCCACCTCCCCTTCTGCCGGTTTCGCCTCCGCGACGCTCTGCGAGCCGGTCAACCTCGCCAGCACAACAAACGACATCCCACCCAGCACATTGTTCAAACACCTCAGAACCACCACAGACGATTTGAATGCCAGCGGAGGAAGCCCCTTCGCCAGCAAAAACTCCGCCCCGTTCAGCGTTTGGTACCTCAAATTGCTGCTAAGACCCATGTGAGCCGCCCAAGTGAGCGCATTGAGCAAGGTTGGCGGCGGCTTATTTGGGGTCTCGAAATTCGGGTCCATTTTTTTCCTCAATTTGATCAGCCCGTTCGACAATGCGGTTCCGGCCAGCCCGGCGACGAACCCAACGGCGGCAAAGACTGTGCCTTTGTACACGAAAGTCCCCAATCGATTAACCAATCCATAGGAACCCGGTTCAAACATGTGGCTGGCCGGGCAGCCGGCGAAGATCGACGGAAGAGTGGCGGCGGAGGCGGACAGAGTGGGGGCCAACAAATACATGAGCGTGAAATTGAGTATGCTACCGACGACGAGAGTCGAGAAGACGAAGTCGAGCTCGTTGAGGCCGAAATTGGGGCGGGAAGCCATGTCACCAAGGACGCAGGAGCTGACTCCGACCACCTCCTCCATCAGAACCTTGAAGGGGAACTGCGGATCGGCGGCGACTCGGGATCTCCACCCATTGAGAAACATACCCAGAACTCCGAATCCCGAAACCGACGACGACGAAGACGACGAGTCGTCGGAATTCCCATCTCCGCCCCCGCTCCACCCCCCGCTGTTTCCTCCTGCTCCTGCGCCGCCACCGCCATTTCCGCCGGAAAACGAAAGCTCTGGCTTTTGGACCCAGATGGGCCTTGGGACGAAAAAGAGAGGGCGATTCTGGGTTTTGGAGTAGGGGAAGGAGATTGAAGAATTAGGATTGGCAGAGAAGCGGCGGTTGTCGGAGGGAGTCGAGCAGTGTTTAGCTACGGTAGAGCAACGAAGCTGAGCGGCGGCCGCCATGTTCGATCTGAATGATCAGTGATGCAATGAGAAAACCCCAAGAGGAAAATTACAAAAGGGATCGAGGGCGGCGCGTCCCTGTCCTCCGAAATCGCAAACCCTAAGAAATGACAGGGAAACGGAGAGAGAGTGAGGGGAGTATTTAGTGTTCCGCTGCGGCGCCGCGCGTGTGAATTTCCATATCAGGTTCGCACGTGGAATTCTGACACGTGTCGTGGTTGAGCTCGGACGCAATTGCGGAATCTGGTAAATGGTATTTGGGGACGCGAATCGAGTTGGCGGATCTTTGGCCTCGGTTGGTGAAAAAGGGTATCTTTGGTAAGGGAAATACTAAAAAAATTAAAATTTTAAATCAAATGACTTGATTTGTTGACACAACGATAATCCAAAAGGAGTCTTTGGACTCGTTCTCTCCCTCTTCCTACCAAGGACACGACGATAATAGAATGATGATCGAACTCGTTCTGGTCCAACAATCTATGAGACATCTTATTTGTTGACACTTGATCATTTATTTATAATTCACATAATAATGTTAACTCTTTAATTTATCTCATCAATAAAAAAAATTTTAAAAAAACACGTGTCATTCAAGTAGATGAGAGAGTTTTGGGTGCAACTCTTTCATATATGGCTTCAAGGTTCAAACCAAAGAAAATTTTGGACTACGATTCTCTCTTCTCCTCTTTCCGTCCATTTTCATCTCCTCCTCTGACATTCTTTATTTTGTCTTTCTCTTTCTATAAAAAAAAAATTAATATAAGAGGTTGACGTGACTTAACAATCACCGTTCAAATAAGAGAGAGAAAGAAAAAAAAAAAAAAAAGATAATCCTACTCCGAAATTTTTTTTTTTATTGTCAAATTGCACATAAAAACTTCATGGTCATGTCCAGTCTAATCGTAGCCACTAAACTATGAAACTTTATAGCAGAATTAAATCTTCGGCAAAGTAACTCGATATTGTCTTTATAGTCGAGTAACTCTCACAGAATTATGAGATCCCTCTTATTTTAGACTCAGTTGATCGACATTAGTCCCGTTTCCAACTTTCCATCTCAATTGATAGATTGTAAATTTCTCATGTAAATTGCAAGTGACCCTTCAGTATCGAATGACGACGTGGATTTAAACTCCGTCGGTGGCTAATCTAACATCTAATCTAACAAAATCTATCATTTAACCCAAAAAATAAAATCTCATGTAAATTTCCAACTTCATGTGCTTTTAGAACCCAAAAATATTTTCTAAAAGTGCTTCCAACCATTTAAAAGCACTTTCAAACGAGCCTACTATAAGACATGCTCTAAACAAGTATATTACGCGGATAATAATCGACTATAGGACGAATTGATTTGCACCACTCAATAGGAAAATGATGTACTTCTACAACATTAAGCATAAGTACGAACTGTAAACACAATACGCCCTAAGATTTGATGCAAATCGGATTCATCCAACTGCAGGCCATGTGAAATTTAACTACAGACAACAAAAATACAAATAATATACAGAAAAATTAAACTAATAGTCCTCACACTTGGTCTACCGTGTGGGTTCTGTTTGAACCTTCTTGTTTTGGGATCATTAAGCGAGCAAGATTAGTTAAACAGCACAGTTAGAATGCAACAATGCCCCCACCAGAAAGACACTAATCATACTACCAACCCTAATCAAGTCATTAAGAGCTTAATTAATCCGCCATCGCTTGCTTTGCGACCAAGCCAACTGTAGACATGCTCAACAAAACAGCATTCAATATGCCCTACGAAACCAAACTCGACCCGTCGGACTCTTAATTAAGCTCTAATTGTTGCACAATCAATTAATATATACTTTCACACTTATCTCAGAAGTAACTAACACAAGAATAAATCCAATGAATGCATTAGGTTTACACAGAAAACTGACCTCACCAAACCTACTCAAGAGTCAACTATATAAATTCCAACCCTTTTTCGGTTTTTTTGGCCTTTTTTTCTGTTTCGGGTCTTTGTCTGTCTGTTGTTACAAAAGAAAGAAAAACAAAGCAAACAAAAACCACCAGAAAAGCTCACCAGCAAGAACTGTTAGACAATTTTCTTGTAGCCATGCTGATGGAAATCTGTATTTCAAGGCCTTCTCGGTCATGAAGTTACTAAGGCGGAGGAGCTAACATTTAGAACCAGAGTAACATGAGCACTCATCGGCCGGTTTTTGCACGCTTCATTCCGCTTGAATTGAAAGGAGATACACTACCACTTGGTCCAGGACTTTCTTCTCTGAAATTTGAGTTTAGCAGAGCCAACTCACGCAACTGCTGCCTCTTAATAAAATCTTGTGATTCATCCTGCAAGTGAAAGGTTTATATCGAGAAAGAAAGAAATGAAGAGATAAAGTCAAAATTAGGGAAAGGTGTTTTCTAGTTAAAATACAAAGTTAGAATCGTCAGTGTTAGCATCTATGAACAAGTTCCTGTGCAGGGAAAGAGAGGTCCCAGCTTGGTTCAGCTACTTTTCGAATCTGCCAATCAAGCAGGAATAGACTCCCATGCAATACAAGTAGGGGTTCAAACGTTATCATATATCCCTCTCTAGATACAAGTACATTTGCATCGAAGAAAAAGTTTCGGAACAGAAATGCGAGGATTAGCCATACTTGATGTTTTACATAAATATCCAACAAGAAAACCAAAAGATTGGAGATAATTACCACAGGTTTGAGCAATTCTTCTATGATTTCTTGCGCCTGTCTCAGCCTTAAGTCAACCACATTGGCAGGTAAATCGGCTTCAATTAAGATGTGGAGTGGTTCGTTCAGGTGCTCATAGCCTGGCCTTCCCCTGAGCTTCTCCTCCTTGATATCGAAATATGAAACGATTAAGATTGTAAATCAGAACAAAAATCTTAGAGAAATTTTTTTATGAATGATGGAAAATGTTCTATATTCCAAAGTCAGAAATGATTGACGGCAATTCAATAGTATTAGACTAGAAGAGAATGAACAAGTGTGTTGTACCTTGTCTGGGTCCTTAATAGATCCTTTTCCCCTAATGTATACACGACAACCTGTCGTAGCTTCAACCCGTTTCAGAGAATTACCTCTCGGTCCAAGAAGCCGCCCAACAAAATTGAACTGACATCCATTGTGCAACAAAACGTTCAGTTATTTATTACATGGCAACCAATCAAACCGACTTCAAATGCTAGCAGCATGCTAAAGACTTACATTGGGGTAAGTATCTACAGGGATTTCCAAACGTAAAATCCTCTTCACAGTGTATGAACTAGGGCTCGCAGGTGCACCTTGCCAGTCCATCGTCATCCCATGGGGTCCACCTAATCTCTGTTATACAGTAAAGGGTCTAGCCATCTCAGATGTATAACATTTGTAATACAAACGAAAAGAAAAGATAGGGACAGATGACTCGAGCAGAATCACACAGGCAAAAGCATACAGGAGATAAACATATAGGCAAGCATGTCAACACAGTTTATCTTGACCATATCGCTGGTCATAAAGTCCACATTCCAAGACAATCATGCTTGATTTCTTTATCTTTCTCACCTTACAGCACTTTTGTGTTGTGTGCTTCAAACTCAATTGTTAGATTGTGTTGTGTGCTTCAAACTCAATTGTTAGATTGCGTTGTATGCTTCAAACTCGATTGTTAGACATGCATCCTTCTTAGTTCTTAGAATCTGTGTTTGTTTATGAATTAATTTTAGGTGAAAGGGATATTATACGAGTTCAAATGTTTATCCAAACAAGAAAACTCTGCAATTCCAACATTTTCAGTTCGGATTCATGCTAACAACGGCTTTCCGAATTTTGTATGTGACTAAAACCCAATTTCACATTGAAGTTGGGGGCCAACTCGGCTCATGATGCAAAATGGAATCAATTCAAGGTATCAAAAATCAGGTGGGTCCCCATGGAATGTTTTAAAATGTGATGTTCAAACCTGTCCAAGATTCTTGAAATTTACCCACAAACTACAGAGAACACCGTATAAGTTGAGGACCAAACTTCCAAAGACAATTATATGAAGACATGAAAGACATTATTTCGTAAGAGGTGGGTCGTTATGTGCTGAATGAAGCATGGAGGACAGGGGTATAAAATCACAGCAACTGGAGGGAGGAAAGGGTGTAAAATCACAGCTATAAAAATAAATAATCACCTCTGGAGGAAGTCCATTCCAGCCACCCATTCCTGTCCCAGTAACATTTGATATAAGATTTGAAGAAGCCATTGGACTAGGGCTTCTATGTCGCATTCTGTCAAAGTCGCCAAAACCTTGGTTGGACATCATTCCAGAAACCCGTAAAATCTCTGCACACAAAGAAGAATGTAATATGAGAAACTGGCTACACAATTGGAAAGGTCAATACTAGAGAGGACATTCCAAGGTCGAGAGGTATGAAATTGAAAAGAACTGAGCTTTATCCATAAGAAACAGAAAAAGCACAACCTAGACCTGGTCTTTTCAATGTAACACAACCACGCCTTGAATGTGGATACCACATACGGGGGTTAGTCAGTAGAAGAAGTTCAATGAGCTACATTTTGAGTGAGCAAAGACGCCAATCAAGTTCAATTACTCAAATGTAGAGTAGACATTATCACCGCTCCAGATTGGATATTTACTCATGAAGCAAAGTTAATCTACCCCCAGCTGACTCTAATTCTAAAAAGAATATTCCTGGTGCTTTCATCGTCTGTATATCTCAGAATATATTTACCTACAAATTCCGCTTTCATAAATTCTTTACTAGTCATCAATATACACCGGTTTTGGCAGTTCAAACGAACAGAAGTACATAGCCTTCGATGCACTCAAATCACAATTGGAACTAAGCAATGCCTAAAGACCTTTACATGGGGTCTTCACATCGTTATCATATGCTTGCTTGATGCAAAAACATTCACAAGTCCAGCATACAGATGCACAATAGTAGAGTGGTTAGTAGTACTCTATCCGACTGTCATCAAATGTTCTGAACCATTGAAAATGACAAAATTATACGCAACCTTTCATATCTAATTTTGACAAGAACTCTAACTTCCCCATTGGAAAGCCACTAACAACACATAAGCTCAAAACTACGCGTTAGAATGTGAAAACACCAGGTCTGCAGACACAGTTCCACGAAGAAATAAAAAATGAATGCAGGATCAGTTCAAAAACAGCCATTTTCGATTGACAAAACAAGCAGCCAAAAGGATCATCCAGTAAAAAGCAATCAGACCGATCTGTCTACTAAAGCAAGCACATTTCACAAACCCAATACGGCCCATAAAAATCTAGATCCAAAACACAAAGATTTTGAAGCAAAACCTTGATTCAAGAGGCGGCTGCATATCGGAAGAACTTGCATGAACGGTCCAAGCTTTTGATGCTCTGCCAACAAATCCGACAAGTACTGACTGCAAAAACACACACAGATCAAAAAAAGGGCAAAACTTCATCAAAATTTGAACTAACATACAAAAATCAGTTGGTTCAGTGCCAAGACTGTAACTTTTCTTCTGGGCAGTTGATTTCTTGAAGATTTAGAGAGGTGGGTTGTTCAAAGAACAAACCTGTCAACATCTGGGGCGCTTCTAATCTGAGGAGAAGCAGCTCTGGCAGGTGAGAAGTTGGGATTATACAAGCCTGACATGGCTTTTTTTCCCCAGAGAAATTGGATAAATGGCAAAAGGGTTTTAGATGGTGGTGGCGTTGCAGAAGAAAAAGGAGAGACAAAGAGCCATTAATTAAGGAAGGGTTTGCAATAGCAGAAAACAAAAAGGGAAATTATATAAATAAATAAAAGGATGGAAAATAAAAAGAAAAGGGTCAAAGACAGCTCTCTCTTTCTCTCTCTCTCTCTCTCTCTCTGTGAATTTTGCAGAAAGGAAAGGGGAAAATATTTTAATTATTTGCTATGCAGAAAAAGGAAATTAAATAAATAAAATGGAAAAAGATGACGAGTTTTGGGGGAGTGAGAAACTGGTGAGTGAGTGCAAATTTTTTTTTATTTTTAAAAAGGATCTATTTTTTGGTTTGGTTTTTAAGGTATCAGATTCACAGGAGACTTTTCATCTCACAGTGACCCATGAACTCAGAAAGAAGGTCTAGAGAGAGAAAGACAGAGACTGACGAGAGAGAGAGAGAGAGAGAGAGAGAGAGAGAGATGGATGTTTTACTGCCAGTTGAATGTTACGTGGAAAATCCATGTTTTATATGCACTGTGGGAGAGAATTTCAAATCCGCCGAAAACCCAATCAGGTACATTAATTATAGTAATGTAATTAGTTTAAATTATTTTTTAATTTTTAGATTATTATATTATTATATTTAGTGTATTGGAATGTATTCATGACAGATTGAAAATTTACTCCTCGCAAGAACTTAAACCAAAAAAAATGTACTGAGGAAAAAGTCCATTGGAAACGGGGGGACACGCGTCGGCCATGCAGAGAATCAAGCTGTGTAGAACTTCAACGGAGAGGTCCCAGGGAAGCAAATAGCGTCGATGGCCAATGGCAAACGACAATGATGTTGCCAACGCAAGCTTAGCTGGTTAAACTATGTCGTTTTGGTTTATGCCCTTTTTTGGATTTCTACACTTTTCCCATGTTTTGTGGGAGTGTTTTGACTGCTTTTACTCCTTCCCACCTTGTTTCGAAAGTTTCTTGTTCCGTCTATTTGGAACACTTGTTACGTTGTTTGGTTTAGTTATTAGGAACAAATTTTGAGTTCTATTTTACACGGTATATATTTTGAGTTCAACTTTTAATGCTGGTAAATCGAATGAAGATGGTTAGTGGAAGTTGGATTGTTTATGTGAGTCTTCGCGGCCCACAAATTGATGAACTTCCATGATAAAGCCATTAGCTGATTTGTTTTTAAAAAAAGTAATACGGATAGAAAATATGATTTATATCTCCCTTGTAGTAATATTCTAAATAGAGCGCAAAACACAAGTCATACAGTAAAATACAAGCACATCCCAAACAATAAGACATGTGCACATTGTCGTAAGCGACTAATTATATCAAAAGACTTTTTCGAGTTTAGTAATACTCTTAATTAATATAATTAATGATTAATTATTATTGAGATGTAACTATCTTAACATAAACCCTAATTGGTCAATTTGTATGGGTACACACACTCGAAACTTGTAGAACCAAACTTGTCACTTGAACAGCCACACATAAAATTGGGAAGATGAGAAGAAAACGGGATCCGACACCCGGAAAGTACAATCCGGCCCACTGGACCAATCAAGCGCTCCTAGTTGGGCCTACGAATGAGGCCCGCTGAATACAAGTTACAGAGTTAAAAAAAGATAAAAAAAGAAAAAAACGAAAAAGATAAAATAGAAAGAAAATAAGCAAGAAGGCTAGCCATACCCAACTAAACTAGTAATTTTACACACACCACCTAACTTCAAAATGTGTTGCAATTTGGCACCTATATCCACATCCATTCATATTTTCATCAAATAATGTACACTTTCTTGAATGCTATTTCTCTTTTGTCGTTTGACTAGAGTTCAGATTTGATGAGTATTAGAGAAGTTGAAAGAAAGTGACGAGTCTCTTTAAAGACGAAAAACGTCACATAAACACTTATTTTGTCAACGATAATGTGTATGTTTGTTAGAATATTTGAATCTACTATTCTCTTTCGACACCTAATTTCATGAGTACAAACTCAACACTATATTTACTAGAATATTCAACCACATCTATAAAATTTCCCACATATAAATCACAGAACACTAGTGAAAACGAAAAAAACTCTCATAAAATTTGGGTACCAAATGGTTGCATAAATTTGGTTACGATAAAGTTTTGATGGTTAATGGTAAAACAAAAACTTATTGAGGTGGTAATTTCACAAAACTGAAAATTTGCAGTGCCGTTTGTGCAATTTTGACAGAAAAATAAAAGGAGTCTCCTTCTCCCGTCTCTCGCACATCGTCTATCGTCTCTGTTACACAGGCTGTGGAGGTAAAGCTGCGGAGAGAGAGAGAGCAATAGAAGAACAACAGCTGAAAGCGGAGGAACGATGTCACTGGTATGGATGGAAGCGCTACTTCCTCTCGGAATCATAGCCGGAATGCTATGCGTCATGGGAAATGCTCAGTATTATATCCACAAAGCCGCCCATGGCCGGGTTCGTTCCTTCTCTCAGATCCAATTCCATCTCTCTCTCTCTCTCTCTCTAGAAATTGTTTGAGTTTTCTGAGATTCTGATTTCGAAAGTTGAAATTTTTGATGAGATTGTGATTTGGGAAATTTGAAAATTGTGATGTTTTGGGCAGCCTAAGCACATTGGGAACGACATGTGGGACGTCGCGATGGAGAGAAGGGACAAGAAGCTCGTCGAGCAGGCGTTTGCCCATATCCAGAATTAGATTACCTCTTGAGGTACTCATCTTTTTTTCGATTTTCGGTTTCGATTTGGGATCATTTTTCCTTCAATTTTTATTCTTTTGATTTAGGGTTTTTGTTCGATGATTTGGTTTATCATGTTTCATTGCTGTCATTGCTATAAGTGAGGTTAAAAGTTAAATCCAGGTAGTACTTTGTGAAGTTAAATTATGTTTCTTTCTAGCTGAATGCTAATCTACAAATTAAGCTGACGTATCTGCATAGATGGTTTTAGGAAATCTGGTATTAGGAATAATGGTGCATAAATTATGTTTTAACCAACGAGGTTTCGAAAAACCTTTGATGGGTAGGATGGTGTTTCGGGATTGAGAAGTTGAGTCACTATATACATGATCCTATGAAGTTGGGTTGACTCAAGGGAATTTGACATTATATGATGCAACTTATATTTGCTGTTTTGAATTGCAATGGGTTGTAAAAAGTGCGGGATCGTACCTTATCAACAAGTTTGCATGATACATGACAATGTGAAGTTAGATATACCTGGGTGATACTGATGGTGCATTTGCTTTATAGCACTTGATTTGGTTTGATCTTGGGCCTTGTTAGAACTTAGCACCCCAGTTTCAATACCGTGAAAAGAGAGTCTGGCTTGGCTCGGACAAATAACTCGCATTTTGGTGGTTGTCCAAGCCAAGTCAGTCCACTCCAAGACAGATCTTGCAACAAACACGGCCAGAATGTTTATATGGGGAATATGGGGAAACTTGATAAGTAAATTTCTGACTTTGTGTCGTATAGGTCTGCTACTTCTTGCAAAGATTAGCCTTATTTTTTTCTCTCCTGCTCCTGCATAGGAACATGAGTCTTTGATTTTCCTTTCTGGTGCAGTATGGCCTCTGATGATAGCTTGGGATTTGAGTTGATTGATATATTTTTTCAATTCCAGTGGATTTAAAAAAGTAATGCAATCGGGAAATTTCATCGAGGGTTGCTTTTTCAGGCTTTTGTATGCATCCTAGTTGATGTGAGAGCTGCAAGAACCATGAGATAATTTTGTTTGGTGAAGTTTCATACGTTTGTATACTCATAAAATACGAGTCAGACAGTAGCAGATCTTGTGTGAATAGTTCTGGTACTGCACTAATTTATTGTTACAAGCTCGTGTATGGTCTTTAGAGGAACAAGCTTGTGATTTCGTAGTGAAAAAGCCCAGCTCTTAAAGAAAAGAAGAGACATTTTAATTCAATGAGATGCTGTCATGTTAACTGAAGTGCCTCCATTTCCGTGTGTATGTATGTTTTCCAATGTTTTGATTATGAAGCTCATGATATTACGGTCCAAACTGCAGGAACCTTTGTGACTGGCGAAGCAATAAAGTCGTCGTCCCATTCAGAAGGAGCCGAGAGCAACTCTAATCACCAATCTTTTCATTGTATGTGAATTTGCATAAGCTATCATAATGATAATGGGAACATTTACATACTCCATTGATTTTATTTGTAATGTTAACCTTCGGATATGAGTTTGTTCGTTTGAGCTTGGTGTGATTCGGGTATGTGTTTACTGTCTTTACCATCTAGGGATGGGCAACTGTTATGACGGGCGGGTAACCGCGGTTATTTACCTATAATAGTTCTAATAATTGAAGTATGTAAATGTTCATACCCACACAACCATTTACCCGTTGGGTAGTTCTATAAATGGTTATACCCATACCCATAACTATTTATAAACGGTTAATCATATCCATAATCGTGTGTTCATTTAACCATAACTGTTTACCCATTTAACCATAACCATTTACCCTTTTGTCTTTTTTTTTTTTTTTACCCATTTACCGCTTTTTTCATCCGGTTTGCATGTCTGTTTTTTTAAAGAACTTGAAAATTACAAAAGAAAATTTTGTTATAATTTTCGTTTTTTGACAATTAAACACCGTTATATGTACATTTTAGCATGCATTTCCCTATTTTAATCATTTAAGTCCTCATACAATTCCAATAATTGAAATAATAGTTTACGAACGAGATTTTTCTGCTACACCTAAGCAAGTTTTTAATTATAATCCATATGATTACAAAGTAAAGCTTCTAAAAACAAAAAGTAGTCATTATCTTGAATATTAGATAATTCAAAGCTTCAAAATATTCCGAAACTAAACACTTTCGAACACTAATGCTTTAGCATGTTCAATCACAAAGTCTCATCGACTCGTTGTCATCAAAAGAGGCTTACAAAAGAAATGTATAAATTGAATTAGTATCCCATTTAGGAACACCAACACAATTAGCATGAATCCAACAGAGGTAAGTGATCATAGAAGGTTTACATTGTATTATCTAAAGAAACAAAAACAAAAAACAAAACAAACAAAAGCGATCCTTAGTCCTTCTCCTCTCTAATATATATATATATTAAATGGATAAATGGATACCCGTTATAACCGCCTATTTAAATTTCACGAATAAACGGCTACTCATAACCGTAATCGTGAACTTTAAATGGGTGATAACTGCAGTTACCCAAACTCATGAGTATTTTGCCCATCTCTATTACCGTCTCACAGTTATTTCTGGAACCGTAGTTCATTACTTCATTTGGTTCAGTGTCACCGAAAAGCCTGGCAGGTGATAAATTAACTGTAATAAGTGGTGAATATCCCTGAAAAATAAACGTCGAGTCTTATGGTTGAAGTTGCAGGAAGTAGTAGAACAGATTGAATGAGCACCATTTTTGCCACCGACTTTTGTCATCCACACCAATTATTTGCAGTAGGTGTGACCATACCTACTTCATAAACTTCATGTAGGATGTAGAGGAAGAGTTGAATAAGTGGGTGAAAAGGAGTTTTGACATGTTTACTTATCTAGAATGGGCTTGAATTATTTTGATTCTTGATTACACATGTTTTTAACGCATATGTAATATAGTCCGTACTATATAATACGAAAAATTATAAATTAGATTGTTTGAAGTGAATACTCGTTCATTATCTTTCTTTTGTATCCTAACATTCTCGAAACATGACTATCCCAATTCCAAATTCGTTCGGGATTTGCTTATTTATGAATTAATGATGCTCATAATCGCTTCTATTAAAAGTACTTTCACTAGAAGCTTGTCAATTTTGTTTATAAAGGATTCATGGGCTTCCTGAAAGGTACTTGAGAGTGCTTTTAGAACAAGCGTTTGACAAAGTGCTTCTTTCAAAAACCTCCTCTATAATCGAAAAGCACTTACAACTTTGATTCACTAGATGTGTAATCAAAATATGAAACAAATGCCAAATACAGTGATGGTAATGCTCACTCATCTCATTGATTATCGTTAGATGAATTTGACTGAATTTATTTTTTACAAAAATCTCAAAATTTAAACTAATCTAACAGTAATTAATAGGATGATAAGTATCAATGCCACTTCTTACTACCACTTTAGAGCGGTGAGCAAAATGCACTTGTCCCTCGTATTTTATGAATTATAAAATAAGGATGAGGAAGAAAATGATTGGTGCACATTCAATTCCTTGACACTTACACTTAGACCCACTCTTGCGTTTGAGCTGGGCTGTTGGGTGCCACATTATTCTTTGTTTATTAGTTATTATTGTGTTTTATTAATACCCGCATTTAAAACAAAAAGAGGAGCCGACGAATACAGAATCCCAATTAATACAGAAGACTAAGGACCTGAAATTCATATAAAAAAATAAAAAAAAGTAATATATAATATTAATTAATTAATTGTAATATACAATATTTTCTCTAGAAAAATTAAATATAATTGAAATATGGTAGGTGGAGGAGGGCAAAGACAAAACAACAGCTGACAGCACTTGGAACAAAGAAAATAGAAAGCAAGGATTCCTCTGCCATTTGCAATCTCATATTATAAATTGATTTAATCAAAAGTGACAACTCACAGCTAAACAGTTTCCTACACCTCCGGTACACTACCGTGACATCCCAAACCAATGTGCATTGTCGTTTGAAATCAAGAAAACACATAGCATGACGCTATTCATTTGAGATGCAACGGTGGTGTACCAGAGCGTATGTAACAATATCCAAAAAAATTGCTCAGATATAAAAAATAGTGTCACTTTTGCTCTCAAGTCAAATCAAAATCCAGAGTTCGTAAACAAGTTACCCAAAACTTGGATGACAGAATCATATTCTTAAAAATTTGCCAACATGTTAAAAGGAAACAACTAAATGAGATTGCAAATGAAACTTATGATTTCTTCTCAATGAAACAACTAAATTCATCACATATAGGAATCACTTTTCGGCTAAATTCACAGTTCCACACCAACAATGAATCATAGTAAAACTATCAGTGAATGACAACAGATTTACACAAAAAATCCTAGATTACCCACAGTGACACAAAGAATCTACCAAAGAAGAAGCGATGCGTAGCGCCTAGATGAAGGAGGCGCCACCATAAAAAGGTGTGACTGGACGAATTTCTGAATACACGAATTGAACTTTGAATGTTGAATGGTGGTAGGAAAGAACTGGAAGCTTGTACAAAATGGTGGTGGGAGGAATCAAGGAACATATTCAGTCTCGATGGTCGGTTGTGTTCGCGTAAATGTTGCTGCAGGTGCCCTTGCATCTCCAACTGAGGTCATTTGCAAGGCTTCTCCTACATCTGCTGCCCTCTCCATCCGTTGCAAATTCTTCCTTTCCCTGTACTTTTTCCCCCATAGTACTAAGAAAGACAACAATGTCAACAATGCTAAACCACCCAGCACAGAGCCAACAATTATCCACACTTTCGAATTACTCTTCTTCTTTCGTCTACCACTTGGCACTGGGGCCACATTTGGACTTTCACCAGCAGGGGTGGGACTTGGAGAGACTGGTGCTGGAGAAGGAGCAATGGACTTAACCGCTATGGAGAAGTGCCCTTGTTGAACTGCTGAACACATATTGCCTGATTCCACATTGCTGAAATTGACTGAACCATTCAAATCGAACAAAACACACTCTGCCACTGTCCCAGCAGGAGTCGGTTTCACATCCTGGAATTTGATCATTATTGGATCACCAGATGCCCTGATATCCAATTCTGGCAGATTTTTCGCTGATAGGTTGCCAGCATCATAAGCAAGAAGACCAATCAATGGAGCTAAGTAAGAGTAACCCTGTAACGGGTAATACACCATTGACCAATTGCCCAGGTTCTGGTACACCAAAACAAGCCTCTCCACATACGGTTTCTCAGTGACACCCTTAGGGATCTCAAACTCTTTGTACATGTTAACACCTCTTCTGTACAAGCTACCACTCCTCAGCCTCATAGCTGCAATCTGAATTCCAGTCAAATTCAAGGGAACACTGCCATTATATATAACACCTGTCTTTGGATGAACAAAAGCCCTGTAAGCATAGTCTTGAAGAAGCGCATCAAGACCACGTGCTGAGCCTCCTGAGGATTGTGCAGAAACATCAGGCAGACAGGAGAAACATATCACAATGAACAGCATCGCGAGACTTCGAAGAAGAAGCCCCATCGATGCTTCGAAATCTTGAAACTCAGCACAAAGCCACTCAAAACCAACTTGGTCGAAACGCAATACCCAGATGACAATATGCACCCAGAAGCCTTCCTATTTATAACACTTCGGATCCAAAGAATAGTAACTGAAAATGTGCAATAAATTCTTCAAGCTTCAAAACCTCTGGTTTTTGACTCGTAAATCTCCAATTAATAGAAGCAAAGGATACTTGGTAAAGGGAAAGAATGATTTGGGCTCTGAGAAGATAATGTGTTTTCTATAAAGCGACTTTGAAGGTTTCAACCGTTGCAATTCTTCAGATTTTGCTTTTCCCTTTGGAATCCTTGTAAAAGAAGCTCCCTCAGAGACTCAAAGGGCTTGACTTTCGAATCTTTTCAGCTCAAAAGAAATTAAAACCCAGATTCTTCGCCATAAACCCATTTAACGCGAAGGAAATAAATCGAAATTAAAAGCAACCCAAGCAACTTTTTCTCCCCTTTCTTCTCCAAACGGCCAAATTTGAGCAGCGAGATTATCACACTATCAAAATTCATAACAAAAAAAGGAGAAGGAAAACAGTAGATTCAGTACCAAGATCAAGAACCCAGGTGGAGATTTTAACAAGGGCAGCTAAATACCTGATCTTTACGGCGGTTTGCGGCGGAGCTTTTCTGGGTTTCAGCGCAAAGCCCTAAATCTTGACGTATTTTCGTCGGTTTGCGGCGGAGCTTTCTGGGTTTCTTGACAGCCGAGTGGAAGAAGAGCATGCACCTCAAAAACCCACGACGAAATACAAATCCCTCACAAGAATTCGCAACCAGAAAACGCGTGATAAGCCGACGCTCTTCAAGAATCTCGCCATTGAATTCTCTAGCTAACAAAGATCACAGCAGTAAATGGGCTTCCCAACAACCCCGAGATACAAATAGGCGGCGAAAGGATCAGAGCTTTAATGGGTCCCGATACCGACCTGCATTTTTGACCAAATCCGACGGACCAACGCAGAGAAAGATTCAGCTGCGGTTTCACG